TCTAAGTTATTAGTAACATGCTCCAATTCATACTTACACTGTCCAAAAGCCTGAATGACAAGAGGACTCTGAAATGCCAGTAATGGAAACACCTAAGAAAATCATCTCCACCTGTTGGATTCCCTTGGCCATTCATGCTTTCACTAACTTCTAGAACGACAACCTGCTTTCTCTCTGTACCCACTTTCACATCTCTCAAAATAAACCCAAAGGCATTTCACAAACACCTCCTAGACTAAAATCTCAGGAGAAAACATGTTCACTTGGAGTCACCTCCCTTATGTCCCAGTGACCATAAATGTGAGGTAGAGGCATCCAAACGTTCCCTGAAAGCAAAACCAGCGTATGCATGCAGTACCGAGTGACAATCCAGGAACTTCAAACATGAAAGCTGCCATGCACAATTCTGTTTATACATCATGTGTAGTTTATTTTATAGGGAGAACAGTTATTAAGAACTTTTTTTGTATTAGTAAGGTCTGACTTAGTACTTGTACTCAGTATTCATGACAATTTTGTCAGACTGCATTAAAGGATTCAATCTCAAAATTCCCAGGTGGAAGATAAAGAACTATCAAATGTCTTCAGAGTAGGAAACCAAGATGCATGATTTAGGAGACAGCAATAAAATAAAGAGTTTGGTATTCAGAAAAGGAATAACTACTCTTACAGATAAAAACTTTCATGGTGTCAATGGATGAGTCAATCTTGATTAAAACCCAAATCTGATTATTGAAGTTTTCCCTCTACTTCATAACGTAATCACTAGAATAACATTGCTGTGTAAATTCAATTTCAACAAAATAAAGCTACTAAGATTATCTATGCAACGCACATAAGCATATATAATTTCACAAAAAGGACCAAGAAATAGATTACATTCCACTTTTACAAGTAATATGTCTCATCTTCAAATTCAATATAAAACTGTTCACTGTATTCCAAAAATTAATGAAAAATATCACCATTCTGTTCAATTTGTTTAATGTAAATGATCATAAAATATTTCATTCTTCATTGCCTCTTGCTTATATGGGAACATAATGAAGACTGACATATATTGCTTCTAGGGCTCACTTTGTGTAACTAGGAGCTTAATAAAACCCCCTTGGTGAACCAGATCCAGGGAAGCATGTAAGCTTTTGATTTCGAGTTAAACACATAAACATCCTAACAGTCCTGTGTGGTTGTATTTACAGTTCGCAGGAAATGAAACACTCAAGGCACAAAATGTACATAAACACTCGAGCATCATGTGACGAATTGTAGCTAATTTTAATCATGTAAACAACAAGGGTCCACCCAATAGCACACTGAAGAAATTTCCCATTTAATTTCAGTCTTATTAAATCTCTAAAAGATAATTAGAATTTAAACAAGGACTCTCTAATCCTATTGCTAAAGCAAATGCACCAAAAAAGACACATGGCACCCTCTTCACTAAGAAACCAACCAAGACAACACCTCTAATCGTAGCACAGAAAAGTTTTCAAACCCACCCAAAATGGCACATACTCAATAGTGACATATGCAAATATAATTGCTGATTTTCAACATGCACCTATCCCAGAACTGGACTAAGAACCATGACAGATGCCACCACTGTCCTTATACAGCACGCAGCCAAGGAACATGGAAACCCCCAGGAGTGCCCAAGGGCTGGCACAATTCAGCCAGAGGAAATTGGGAGGCAGGAACAGGAACAGAGCTCATTCCTCAAAGAACTTTCAGCTGTGATATGGGAACCTCACTATGCATCTGAAAATGAATGTATTTTTGAGGACACGAGCTCAGCAAAAACACAAAGCAGCTTTCAGTTTACACAGTTTACAGAGACATGGATGAAATCCAGGCTTCCTCCAGCACCTCAAAGACCCTTTAAAACAGTGTTGAACACCCTCCAAAAAATGTCTTCTCTGAACCTGCTCAGATCTTCAAGTAAGATATTCTTTGTGAAGTCTTGTGAAGACCATCACTACCTTCCTGGTGAAAAATCATCCTCAACTTCAAAAAAAACATGATATCCCTATAGATCCATAGGAAAATGGCCGTAAGTCAAGACTTTCTGTCATGCTGCTTCTGGCACCAAGACCCCTTCTGGGTCATCCTCTGGGGAGGTGTACAGTTGCCAGAAGTATTCCTGGGGGAGCCAGAAGTGACACCATCTGTACACCTTTCCCAGTCCCCATATTCCTGCCATTCCCCAATTGCCTAGCTTGGGCTGGCTGCAACCAGGCCTTCAGAAGGAATCCAGGAGATACCTTCAGCAGGCCACAAGGAAAAAAGTCACAAAGGCCAGTAAGCTTTTTGAGGTTAGAAAACAAAAAAATTTGTATTTCCTCCCTCCTAAAACCCTTCTGTACAGAACTGAAGAAAAGAGCTTATTTAGCACACCTCTCACTAAAAATAAACACTGCTGTTGTCTCTTCCTCTGCTCTTGTCTGAGAAGCTATAATGGAACTGGATCATGGAATCCAAGAAATGCTTCTTGTAACTATTAGTATGCCTATTCATGAATATTTATTCTTTCAACTTACAATTACTTAAGAAGTGAAAAAAAAAGAAAAAAAAAAAGTGACCAAACCTTTACAACCAGTACTGAAAAAGGAGCAGGTGCACAAAGTGCACAACAGAAGTCTGGTATGGATACAGATTTATGCTGTGAACTATATGCTGCAAATGTACAACTAAAAACCAAAAAGACCAATACTTCTGAACTTCTTCTGAAGCATCATAACACCAAATCAGATTAAGTGACAGCAGGCAGCTACTTATCAGTTAGATTTACCTCTGACTGTGAAGTATAGGACTATCTAACAGCACAATCTCCTCTCAGATTCTGACATGCCTCATCTACAGTGTCATACTTCTGATACTTGCCAGGTTTTACATGGTGACACTTCACAAATACATTTTGTCCTGACAGCTCCTTTACTAGCCAACTCCAGTGACAAATGATTGAAGTCAAAGAGTAAATGGTGTAGCTTCTCCAGAGTAAATCTGGTGTAACAGCAAGCGAGTGAAATACTACCCTTGCAAGATCAGATTCAACCAACTTTACAGCTTCAAAGCAGCAGAGTCAAGATCCTCCTGGAACACATGTACTTCACAGAGTGGGTAACTCCTCCCCACAACATGCCTCTGGTGAAGTGTGCCCCATGGCTGACTCGGGGCTCAGTAGCTCTCCTCTCTGCTCCATGATGAACAAAGTGACAGGACTCCATCATCACTTCCAAAGTGAACAGCACCACGCTGTCCGTGGGAATCACCCAGACTCAGAAAACAACATGAAACAAATATCAGAAAGCATTCAGGGCCCTCACAAAATTTGCTGACCTGGAAAGAACTTGCTCCAGTGCCCATATGTACTCCTTATGCACACAGCCAAATGAGCTGAGATGCTCTGTCCAGGTTACCTACCAACATTCTCTCAATAAGGACAGCAACAAACCAAGAGCAAAGGGGTTGCTCATATCTGCACCTCCAACAAACAGGGGAATTTAAAAAACAAACAAACAAACAAAAACCCTCCAAAGCAATCAGTTAAGGAAATGAGAAAAACACCTGTATACATACTCTCATCGAAACAACCTATACATGAAACCAAGAAATCCCGCAACTACACTACTAATCATAATATACAAGAACAAAATACTACAGTTTCTTTTCCCATTAATTGCTTCAAAAGTTTTCTGGTGTTATTTTGCCCTGTTCAGGATCAACTACACAGAAAATGTAGAAACAAAAATACAGACAGCTCTCTAAGCACAGGTTCACATTTACCTTTATTTCCTTCACGCCATGAGCAGTCGGACTTCACCGTACAAAGCAAAGCAACTTACTTTAATTTTAAAATCATTAACAACACTATTATGTATCAGTCGAGACAGATATTGCCAACTTAAGTGTAAACTGCTTGAGAGATGTACAGCCACCATGGACTCATTTCGAGAATGCACTTTCAGCCCAGTAAATTTTATTCCCCCAATGCCTCTTCAGTTTTAGGAAAACTAATCCCAGTTTTGAAACAGGCCTTCTCAAATACAACTTTTCTCCCTGCCTGCTTTCACTTTCCCTTCCTCTTCCCCTTCCTTTCCCACAAATGAGTTATTAATTCCTAAATAAATGGAATAAGTAGCACTTAGGATCAGGAGCCACAAGGGTCCACTGGTGGCTATCTCTTGTTTAGAGGTCTGTTTAAACAGGAATTAAAAGAAATCCCTTCAGTGGATTTAGGCCCAAAAGCTGAAATCTGTAAACATAGGTACTTGACCTCACTGGACCAGTCCCCTGGGTGATCACAGAGGAACCATGCAGACCCTGGAGAAGTTCTCCAGAGACAAACACCATTTTTGTAAGTTTGCTATGGAGATGCAATGGCCTGAACACAAATTAGGAAACTCTCCCTTGTAGTCTCTTCGAAACACCGAAGTGCAACTTCTCTGTGTTCCCTGCACTTGTATCTCCCTAGCACAATGCAAAGAAAACCACCGACTTCATGTCCAGCCTGCTTTTAAAAATGAAGAACTTCTTTTGAGGTGCAATGGCCACCCTGAGCAATGGCATTACTTGATCGAAACATCAGTGCGTGTTTGTTTCACAGCTGGTAACCAGAAATCACGACCATCTCCAGGTCAAACAGCAGGATGGCAATGCCGGACTGGAGCACACTCCTCCAGTCCCACACCTCCCATGCGACGTCAGATGCCCTAATTCCGCTTAGCTTAAGTATCTTCCTTGTGAATGGACTTTGATGTGTCTTCGTTTGGGCAGAGCACTGAAAACAGCAGTCATGATGCCTTTTAAGTATTAGGCAACCCTTTTTAAGGCCGAGGCCACTGGGCCCGAGTGTCCCCAGTCTGGCAGCGTCCCCTTCACCGGCCACGGGACCGCGGCGCCGGGGGACACGGCCACGGCGTCCCCGCCTGGCCCGGGGAAAGCCACAGGAGCGGGTCGGGGAGTCCCGAACCCCCGGCCCCGCCGCCCCCGGTCCCGCTCACCCTTCTTGTCCATGAGCCACATGAAGAAGAAGCAGGGCGCGAAGCCGATGGGCCCCCAGAAGACGAGCAGGGCGATGTCCCAGCCGCTGAAGCCGAAGGCCAGGCGGGCCGAGTTCTGGATAGGGCCCCAGGTGTTCCACACCAGGCCCTGCGCGAAGCCCAGCAGCGAGAACAGCAGCAGCACCAGCCACCGCCGCCCGTACACGCGGCCCGACAGCGGCGGCAGCCGCCCCGCCGGGACCCCCGCCGGCCCCCGCGGCTGCGGCCGCGGCTGCTGCGGCGGCGGCGGCAGGAGGGGCCGCCGCTCCTCCGCGCTGCTCCAGCCCAAGCCCATCTGCGGGGGCGCTGCCGGGGGCCCGCAGGGGAGGAGGGGACGGGGCCGGGGGAAGGGATACCCACACTTCAGCCCCCGAGCGCGGCAGCGCTGCCCCGGCCCAGCACTGCCGCATGCGCGGTCGGGGAGGGCCGGCGGCCGCCTCCTTCCTCCGCCGGCGAGGGGAGGAGGGAACCGGCGCCGCGGAGGAGAGCCGAGCCTGCCGCCCGCGGGGAGGGAGCCGCGCCGGCGGGCAGCGGGGGCATGCGGGACGGGGAAGGCAGCGGGCCGCCACCCCGCGGGGAGCCGGGGAGAGGAGCCTGGGGCAGGAGCGCGGCGGCCCGCGGGCGCGGCCGCCCGGGTGTCACCGGCAGGGCCGGGGAACTCCGGCCGTCACGCCGCCACCGGCTCCGCCCCGCCGCGGCTCCCGGGCCGCGCTGCCCCTTCCGCCGCCGAAGGCGGTGCCGAGCGAGGCCCGCCCGAGCCGCCCCGCGGGCAGAGCCGCCGGAGCATGGCCGGGGCGCAGAGCTGCCGTCCCCCCGCGCCGGGTAGGTGCCCCGAGCCCCGGCCCGCCCCGGGCCCCAGCGCGGCGTGGCTGCAGGCCCGGGCCGAGGGCGGATATGGGGAGGGGGGAGCGGCGGCTGAAGCGGGGCCATAACCGGGCCCGTGGCCGGACCCGCCGAGCTTCTCCTTCAGCTCCTCCTCCGACACGTCCCTGTCGGCCGCGGCACCTCGGCGCAGTGTGGTACCTTCGCGCAGGGAGGTGCTGCAGCAGGGCATCCCTCGGGTATCGGTCCTCTTAAAGGGAGAAGGAAATCGTGTTGCTTTGGTGGATACAAATCAACCATAGTCCGAACTGAGAGAGAAAAAATAGCAGGGTTCCGATACAACATGCACAGAAGTCCATTTTAAAATAATCCGGGTGAATATACCATAATGTGGGGAACACTATGCTCATTAGTATTATCATTTAAATAGATTGAAGTATATATTCATTAGATTAGGTTATGTGAGAATTTATCTGTATATCAACCATCTGTACTTGTCATAAAATTAATGGCTCATATGCTGCACAGTGCTTCATGTTCCCTAAAATATTGGGCATTTCAGTGTGGCTTGATTAGGCATTCTGTCACCAAGTCTGGAAGTTGGCTTGATAAATGCCCATCTAATTAAATGAGGAGAGCTGAACGGTGGGATCCCCACAGACTGGTTTTACATCCAGCGTCAGTGTCATAACTGTTGATGTGCTGGACAGTGCACAGCTGAATTTTACACGTGGCCATCATCCCACAGTTTTGCAGCCAAAACCTCAGACTCCAATGAAATTCTTCTCAGAACATAACAGACATCACATTTTGTTGAGTCCACACAGCTCAGTTTCTGAGACTGAAAGTACAACAAGGAAGTATATTCTGACTGAAATCAGCAGAACTATGATCAAAAGAAAATTATCGTTTGTCTACAAAACTTCAGGAAATGCCCCAGGAAAAATAAAATTCACGCACAATTAAATAATGGGGGACATACAGCAAACTCAAATTTGAGCTGCTGTGTACAGCTGTAGTGACAAAAGCACAGTAAAAACATAGGGTGAGATTCAGACTTGCTCATGACTGATATATATTCTGATAGTGCTTTGGAGCTCCAAATAAGATTAATTCCCCATTTTACTAAGTCTTTTTCATACATTACCACCTCAGCATAGTTTAGCCCATGCCAAAATGTTCTTTCAATTTAAAAAGGGTATGTTACAACTATAATTTAAGTGATTTGCTGGCATTCATCCAAAGACAAAGTGCTGCTATTTGCAGAAGTAAACAGTGTGAAAAAGTACTTCTCTCTTTGAACATTTTTCAATTAACTGTAGTAATTGTGGAGGTTTCATGGTTCTAGTGGCAGGAAACCCATCAAGAAATAAGGCAAGTGGGGTTTTGTGGTGTCCTTTTTAACTGCAAAACTTGTCTGATGGCTCATATTATCTGCATGGTCAAATGAGAACTTAAATATAAGCAGGATAACTCTTTGATAACTTAACCAAGACACTTCATCTTATGATGGGTTTCAAGATATTTTTACTCTTTCATGGGTCAACAGGAAAGAAATTTCTGAGAAACAGCAACAAGCTAAAGGGGCTGTCAAAATAGGCTTAAAAATATTTAAGTGTATTTATTATTGACTTAATGATGATTTAAATAATTTATTTTAATTGCTTGATTTGAAATCGCTCCATCTTTTCCTAGCTTCACAACCCATATGCGCATCTTTCAGTCACGGCCTGACCTTTTCTATTCCAGCTATTTAATTAACACAGTGTAATATTCTGTGTGAATTATTCTTGTTTGCAGGATATCGTATTGGTTAAATTTGTTAATGTAAAGGAGCAGTGTATTGTTGATAAACTGTTGGAAACCAAATTAGCTTTATCTTGCAGCTAGCTGATTGCATTATTTCACTCATGGGTATAATACTCCTCTAAATATGCTAATTTCACTCTTTTCTCCGTGTGGTGACATTTTTACTGTTCTCATTACTGACATTTGTAATATTTGAGGTGGGGAAATTTTTCTTGCTTTAACCTCATTATAATGTAGCTAAAGAGATTTGAATATTATCAGATGAAATGCACATATATTCAGGCAAGCAGAAAGGTTATTTTCTCTCCTGGCCCATAACTTTCATGTCTGTAGCAGGTTTGCGTGGACAGAATGACACCTGGATCCAAAGCTGTGATAGAGATGCCCATGTAGGTACTAATTGCCTAAGCACAATAGTGTGTCCATTGGTAGGTGCCTTCGTTTCCAACTTACAAGCTCTGAGGTGGTTGTGTGACCATATTCATGCCTGTCTGCCTGTGTCTGACCTAAAACATTCAGGAATTCGTCTTAGGAGGAGTTGGTCGCCTGGAGCTCTGATAGACTAGTGGTGACAGACAAAAATTACATGGCTGAAGCTGTTGTTGCTTCCAAATGCTCTTGCCATCCCTGAGGCAGGCCTGGCAGATCTGCTTACAAGTTGGTACCTGCACTGTGCTGATTTAAGATTGGCTTATTAATATAAACTGAGGCTTTGATGGGTTTGTTACCACCTTGGGGCATCTGGAGAGTCTAGTTCAGCAAAAACACATCTGTCATGTAATGGTTGTGCTTAGCAGTCCAGGAGAGCATCCCCCCATGGAGCAACCCCCAGTTCCTAGCACATTAGGAAAGGCCATTTGCTCTTTCCTGACACCATGGTTTTTACAGATTTGCTTTTCCTGTGACATTCTTCAGAGATTCAATGAATGCCAGAGTCCCCTTGGTTCTTACACCTCTCTCCCAACAGCTCCTAACATCATGTATACAATCTTGTCCTTTCTTGTGTCAACTCATACCTTGCAATGTGACAAGAACAAGCAGCAAGTCATTGCATACCCCCTAAAGGTTAGAAGCATTTTGGCACAAAGTGGGCAGAACCTGAAATTAATTCAAAGATTGAAAAGTAGTATTTTGCAGATTCTGAAAATTCCTTCCAGGATCTAAAAAAAGTTCTCTTTACCAGGGGTTTCCCTCAATTTCCAGACTTCATGTGGAATTGTGACAGTGGAGTTTCAGAGCTGCCATGAACAGCAGTGGTGTAGCAGGGATCTGTAATGGGTGAGTTCTTTACACCCCATCTTGAAAAACACCTCTGAAGGTGAGTCTGTGAGGTGTGAGCAAATCCCATTCTTGCTTCCTCAAGTTTTGATGTAGTTTGTATTCTAGTTGCTCAGGAACAGGTCAGTTAAAATCTGCTCTGTCTTGGGCTTGGTTTGGGCACCTTCCAATCTGTATATTCATTCAGCATATTTTCTTGCCTTTCTTTTTTACTGAGAAGTATGTACACTCCAGCTCTAACGTTGTACAATGATTTCCTAGTTCTTCAGGTTTTACAGTGCTTCCTTTTTTGTAGTATCAACAAGAAGCAAAAATACAGACCAGACACATCTTTAGCTTATGAAAGCTGAGAAGTTTTATTCTTAAATTCAAACTTCAGAGTTTTCCAGTGGGGAATTCATTTATACCTTTTGATTGCAGGCTGTGTATATTCCCACTGCAGAGTGACCATTGTAGTGTAGATGATTCCAGGTTTGTGGTGAGCCAGAGCCCACTGTAAGATTCTCTGAGGAGAGGTGGGATAGCTCCTTTCTCTTGTGGAGTCTGCCTTTTCTGGCTGGCTAATGAAAGACATGTCACTAGATTCCCTATACACCACACTGTAGGTTCCTTACTGCAGCTCTCAGAAGGAATATGCAAAGGTCACATCTGACCTGGGCTTTGAGCACATTTAAAGCATTCTGTGCTCCATTTCTGCTTGTTCTGCCATTCATCACCTTCTTAATGATGAACATGTAAGTGATGATTGTATCTTCTTTGAGGGGGAGGTGGAAGCTACATGATGTTTTTCATCAAAGTAATTTTGTTAGCTACTTCCCTGCCTTACTTAGCCTTCAGGTTCCATGTCTTAGACATTTTAGGGAGTTTGTGTTGGAACTCCAGCTTCTGCAGACTACTGGAGTAGGGCTTCTGGCCCTGTGTTGTCTCATTTTATTCAGGGCCACCATGTGCAAGTAACTGCAAAAGACATCAGTGGACTATTTTACACCCCAAAGTTATGTTAAGGAAATTCAGTTTCAAGAACTGATGGTTTCCTCTCTTCCTGAGAACCTGAGAATTATGCAAATGAACTGAGTCACAGGATGTTAGGCTTGAATTGGGAAATACAGGGTGAAAATCTCCACTGTCTCCCTGTCCTAGGACTGCCTCAGTGCAGCTGTCATTGTCTCTGGTGCCAGCAAGGAGAGATAGTCATGGTGCTCTGGTACTGGTCTGTCCGTTGCGTCTCTGGTGCATGTGTTTCTCATTTCTTATCAGACTGTGCCATTGTTCTCCTGTTGTCTTACATGGAAGCAGCAAGGGGTAACTTAATTACCTCTCTGCTATAATTAACAGTGTAGACATTAGGGAGTTTGTTTCTGTTGGTCTAGTCACGTTTAGCTGTCATACAATAGGTATGCTGTGAGCTCTGCAAATGAGTTGTCTGAAGACCTGATTGTCTGGGTAGGTGTTTGGGATCAAATCCATATTGAGGACATAAAGCTCACAAAATGTTGTTTGTGTCTTTGAAAATGTGACCCTATCATGTAATTTCATATAGAAAGAAGAGGCTGAATTGATTATTTCTTTGTCTGTGCTTTTCTCAACTGGGACACATATGAATAAAGTTTAAACTATTCTATGCTTTGTGATCACAGACACAATGAAATTCTTGGGAGTAGATATAATAGCATGAGATTTTGGGTTCTGTAAGAGTATTTTAAAAAAGAGCAATGGTAAGGTAGTTTGGATGTCTTGGCATAAAAGTACAACTTTAACCTTTCACAGTTTTATTATTTTGCTAATGTTCAGGGGGTTATCTTAAAATTCTATGTAAAATTCATACTTTTGAAGACCAGACATAAAAGACATAATTTCTTCTAATACTAGTATTACATCAGACAATGCTGAGTTGAGTGATGTTAATGTTTAAAAAGAGTATGAAAATATTGAAACTCTTCTACTGTAAGGAGTTTTCCCTATTTACTGATAGGTTGAAAAATACTGAGTTTTAGTAGATTTTGCATATTGCAATAAACTTTAAAAATTCAAAGCAGCAGCACTGTCATAGTTTGTTGTATAATTAAAGGTCACCTTCAGTCTCCAGAAATGCAGATGCAGCTGATTACAACAGGAGTTCATGGTGATCTGAGTAGAAACTTGGGCCTGCAGTCCCTGATCTTCTCTGATATTTAGGCTTGGTGTTTACAGATAAAGAAACTTTGCAGGCAGTTGTTATTTGAAAAAGAAAAGATAAAGGAAATCTCTGGAGGGAAAATGCTAACGATACTTTGACATCACTAGCAGCAGTTTGTTCTATTACAAAGTTATGAAATACGAGCTTCTATGTAAAAAGGCTGTGCTTTTTCTGCTAAAAAGAAGAAGAGTTTATGTTTAATAGTTATATTAAAAAACAGAACCAACATTAGCATATTAAGGTTGAAAATTAAATTATAAACCCTTGGTAGTTCACATTTTTGTGGGTTATTTTGGTCAAGTGTGTTCTTGACATTATGACAAAGCAATATTTTTACAGTCTATATGAACCCCAGGATTCAAAACATACACTGTTAACAGTTTTTCACCAACAAAATAAATGTTGCAGCATGAGAACCTTTATAAGCAGAAATAGCAATGTGAAGCAAAGATTAAAAGCACTTCTGGTTGTTTTAGCCATGCTGAAAGAAGTGGAATGGTGTAAACAATGGAATAATAGCCATGCTTTTTCTTCAGTATTCCTATAATAATGGCAATCCCTGAATCTAATACCCTTATTGTACATTCCAGAAACTGTTCTTGAGGTTCACATGGTGGGTCTCTTTCAAGTCAATAATTCATGTAATTCAAAGACTTCTTTTACTCTTTTAAAGTATAATTTCATTCTGACAATTAATTATATCTCTAATTGACTCAGTCATTAATCATAATTTGTATCCTGCACAGTATGATAGCGAACAAGGTCATGTATACTACCGTCATAACCCCTTTGAGGGTCAAATTCAAAAGGCTCCATTGTATTAATTACTATTCATTACAATAGCTTGTAGGAAAAAAAGCACATATTTTGAGAACACTATTGTCTATTTACTACAGTACCTTATGGGAAAATAGTGTGAATGAGAAGATTTAGATTATTTTGCTGCTGCCATTTTGAAATTCTTGTCAGTCAAGTTTGCAGGACTGAACAACAATAAAGTCACAATTGGTTACAGTTTCTGACAGTGAATTTTATACAGTGTATTCATCTGTTTAAGAGTAGTGCTTTCATACTTACTACTGACAAGGAAAAGAAAAAGAAATACAAATAAATTTTGCCTATAATATGAACAAATTGGGTTTTTTTCTTAGAAATACATGCTAACTTCCTGACATGCCAGTTCCCTTACTTTCAATTATAATGCTATATTAGTATTGAATCTTATATTAAATTTTATGTTTATTAGGAAATGTCAGAAATGTGTATCAGTGCTGGTGGGCTACTGGGAAGACGCAGTTCAGCTACTGAATTTCCTCAGTAGCAGGCGTGTGTAATTTACACCCCATAGACTAACAGAAAGGTGGAATTTTGGCAGCCTAGCTTAAGGAAGAATAGTCTATCTTTTTATATCCTGGTGGAAGGTTTTGGTTAAAGACCACAGACTTTTCCTTCCAGCATTTCTTCTACTGGAGGAGACCAGAGGAGCTGAGGTCATTCGGCATTCAGTTCGTGAGCTGGAAACTGGCAGGACTGCATTCGGAACCTGCACAGCAGGATGGAGGAGAGACATCAGGCAGAAGCTGGCCAGGGGTTCAGGAAGAGCTTTTGAGGAAGAGCTTTAGGGCATTTAGGGGAGGAATTTCCTAAACTTGTGCTTGAGATGATGCACTGTCATTTAGAGTGGTGGGGGGAAGTCCCTCCCAGAGCTGTGTTCTGGGCTCAGCCCCTACTACTCCCTAAGGAGTCTGGCAGCAATTCCCGTTGCTTTGTCGGAAGGACAAGATGAGGTTTGGGCATGGCTCCCACTCCTATCTTATTTCACGTCTGAAGTCACTCAACTTCCTGTAAGAAATACTGTAAGATGCTCAGCCCTGCCACGGGAGCGCTGGAAATTGAGTCCAAATTCCTCATTTAGGCTCTTTCTTTTCTTCCTTTGGCTGCCCTCCTCTGCGGTAGCAGTTTCGGAGAGGAAGGAAGGCTGTGTTGGCTGCAGGCTGCCAGAGTGAGCTGGGGCTGCCAGTCTTACAAGTGCAGACTGGTCTGTCCAGAGTCTCCATGCAACCACCACCTCTCCTTCAGTAACCAAAACATCTGCACATCTGGGGTAGCTGCCTGCTGGCTCTGTGCCTTCACAGCATTAACATTCCCACAGTCCAAACTAATAGCAACAGCAATAGCTGGCTAGCAGGTAACACCTAGACGTTGGTGCAGCCTATCCTGAAAACTACACATGTATATTTGGAGGCATTCTGTTTGCCCAGAGGAGGCTGATTATAGTGCATAGTGTTGTAATCACATGCAGATTATTTAAAGTTGGTTTTTTAATTTACAGAGTTAATGTACTGTAAAACCATTAAGTCTGACCTCCAAACCAAGTCACTTACATTTGGTTGGGGAATTTGCTCATCTTCCCTCATACCTTCTCTTTTCCCATGCCTGGTAGTTAAATAGTTAAGATTCTGGAGGTTAGGTGATTTTTTTTTTCTCACCTGGCTGCTCTGTATTAATGTATTCAAAATGATTTTTTTTTCTTTTATTTTAAAAATTTTTTTAAAAAAATAAAGTAAGGAAAAGGGAGCATTACAAATTTGCTAGAAAAACAATCTGATGATGCATGTACCAAATACATTACCAGGATTTCCTTGTACTCCCTATTTTAGAAAATAATTTTAATACCTCTCAATTAAATCTCATATTTAAGCAGCAGGGTGTTTTGGCAGAAGCCAACTGCCATACACTAATGAACTCTTATAATTTGCTAAATTATTTTAAATGAATGACAGTACATTTAGCTTTTTAATGACTGTACATTTAACTTCTGAACAACTTTGATCAAGTCCACTTTTAGTTAGACTGCCTGCTGTGCTAAACTCTTAATTCCCAAACCCTACTCAGTTATTCAGAAAATTTTTTAATCATAATCATTAAATTATTTTCTGTTTCGGAAACACAAAGTCTACTGGAGAGTACTTGGCCAATTCATTACTTTTCTTTTACCTGCCCTCAGTGCTAAGTCTAGATGAGGCTTAATGTTTGACAGTGCTTTGTGTAAAGACAACCGGAGAGCTTTCTTTTTTTAATTGGGAGATCTCTATTTTGCAAGGTGTTGCCTTTCTAAAGAACACCTATGTTTTTTGCCAATTATATAAGCTGCCACAGTTACAAAACTTGAGCTAAAATTTGGTTCATTTTTTTAGTTCCTGGTTGGATTCTGTACATGCCTTGGGTAAAGTCAAAACATGAGACAAATTATTCCTGCTTCCTTTTGTACTGTGAAGTCACACCATTTGTTGAGCCTGATAGAGCTGAGCTGAAGTATTCCTTTTCTCTTGTGGATCAGAGTACAGCTGAGAAAATGAAGACTCCCACTGAGCTTTTCTTTTTCAAGGGAATATGCATTTCTATTCTCTCCTGCTACCCAGTCTCCCCTAGGAATTTGATATTTAATGCCTAAGATGTGCAATGGATATTTTTCTTTTGTGCTGCACATTTTATTTGGTCACCTTTTACTTGTGCACATCTGTATCAAAACTGTATGTGTTTATATATGCTACACAACCTCAGGTTTTGCCTTGGACTCAATTACCATCAATCTCAGGCTAAAAAATACCAAGAAGCAACAGCCCAGATTATAAGGTTTTTGTGAAACTATGATAACAATAACTGAGGAAATTATTATTTTAAACTATAACCCTGCTCATCTCTCTTCAGATCTTCTATCTTCAGATATCTCTTTTAATTACTTTTCCCCACTCCTACAGCATATGGTTCCATCAGAAATCTCTGTTGGTCTTGAGCAGAGTTCTCCGAATTATCATAATATCTATTTGCTGCATTATATGATATTTACCTTTTATCAAGTGTTTTTTCTCTAGCAGGCACTTAGATATGCATGACAAGTGTTATAGGGAAAGAATTACTTTTAGAGCTGACTCTGTTCTCACCAAGAAATATACAAAGGCGACTCAAGACACAGATTCTTCACACAGATCTAGCAAGAATCTGCATTTGTCTTTGCAAAAATCCCTAACGTATATTTATTTAAGTCTTTAAATTTTCTAAAATGTTTCAAATGTCACTGTGCATTATATGTATTGTATGTGATTATCTATATCAGGAGAAGGTATATACTTATTTATCAAAGGTTTTAATACTGTTTGAAGATAGGAATTATTAGCATCTTAGTAAGACAGACTGTCCTCCTTTGTTTTTTCTTGATTTCGTAGGGAAATATGTTTACAACTGAACATGGTGACATGACAATCATTCAGTAGAGGAGGGGCTATTTAGCCTAATTGTGGTTTTTTGTTTGCCAGTGGCCTACAGCTCTGAGCTTCCCACTGTGTGTGTATGCCCTGTGGTTAAAACCACACCTTGCAAAAGCATGATGTGCATGTGGAAATCACATTAGACAGCCACACAGAATCAACAGTTGGCTTCAAAGAGCCTTCCTGTCTCTTCCAGTAAAATTTCTGCTTTTGTAGCACATCCCAACTGTTCACTGAAGTTACAGGATAAACCTGAAACTTTTGCAATAAATGTCAGCTTTGCAAAATCCTCCAAAAAGGTGTCACCAGTTTCTTGCATTTATTTGCATTTACATCCTGTAAAATACTTAAATGTAGTGCCCTTAAAGCAAAAAAAAACCCTGAGTAGTCAAAAAGACAGCCATGCAGTGATAAACATGGCCTAAACAGAAGTAATTTCATTTTTATGAGCTGGAAAATCTGAAAGGTAGGTAAGGCCTGCCAGCTCCCACATGGTGAAAGCCACCTCTGCACATTATTATAAGTGCACTGGTGAAAGACACAAGTTTTATAAACCCCCTGGGAGCGTTCAGATCTGGACCAAGTCTTGCATTAGCTCTAGAACAGAATGGCTGTGAAGAAACAGCTGAGCCTTCCCCTCCTGCCATGCCTGCAGCCAGCTCCTGTGCCTGCAGATGGTCCTTTGCCTGCTCTGGAGCTGCTCCTGCTAGGTGTGCTAACCTGCTCCTTGGGCAGCCCCAGAGCCTCCTCCCGGCGTGGGGAAGAGCATATGGTGGGACATACGGTCCCCGTGAGGCCTCCTTATGGCCTGCTTGTGTAAGCTGCTGGGTGTGAGACTGAAGGCCAAGTGTCAGAGACATCCCTGTGTCACAGCAACACCATCCTGTCAAGTGTTGCTCTGCGTATGAGAGGAAATGTGGAAAACAAACCAAAATCCAAGCTCCCTCCTGTCGTCTGTCTTAGGAAAGAGAAGCCATTTAAAAATGTTATGTTCCATGAAGATAAAATACCAGAGGTCTTCAGTTTTAAAGCTTCACAATGGAGTTTTCATGAGGGAGAAGTGAGGGATTTGGTTTCTCTGGAAGTCTGTGGAATAAGAGACCCATTGACTCTAGGAAAGCCCAGCCCCAATACCTCCCACTGAGTTTGTGTGAAGATAGCAGCCTAATTTAGGAAACCAAAAAGCACAGCTATGTGGGAGGATAAACCCTGTCAAAAGAAGAGGGACTCACAGAAGTTACCAAGAAGATACAGCACACAGCATGCACAGGACACCTCTTACTCCTGTCATTCCCACTTCAGCATTCATAGATTTATTTTGGATTTTTGTTGCTTTTAAATTAATCCTGAAGAACTTTTCTCAGTGGCATTGTTCCCAGTGGGTCATCTTGTGTTTCCCCCAGCTGGCTCCACAGGGTTTGCCCCATGTGCCACTGGCTGTTTCTCTGCTATCTCCCATACATGGGGACAGGTGACAGGCGAAATTAGCACCCAGCAGTGAAGGAAATTTTCTTGGCCTGTATTTATTTAACTCATCGTGTATGCCAGACCATCATTTGACCCCTAAATGCAATGACTGAATTGAATTGGTTTGTTTGTTTTAAATAAACTGCTGGAAGTCACATGTGTATCACGGCTATGATTCAGTATGTTAAATCTTAGCCGTTATACAGATATAAATTCTGGATGAGTTATCTTCAATAGAGGTTAAAGTAATGAATGGATTTTTTTATGATCTGAAGCTGTGGTCCACCTCTTCCGCTCAACAGAGATGTCATTCCTTTTAAAAAACTCCAGATTTTCCCTCTGAATGTGTCCCTAAAGAAAAGTTCTTCTGAAAGTGCTGAGTTAATTCAAGATTGCCAGCATTTCAGGTTGATGGTTTCAGTGGGGCATATAAATCTCTAAACACCAAAGGAATAAATGGAAATCTTGGGTTAGTTCAGTTCTTGGATTGGCATAATTTCCTTTTTCTAAAATTCTGTTGATGAAATTTTAAAACTTCAAAAATACCTGCTGATTGGTTGTGCTACTGTTCCTCAGTTTAAAGAGAACACATGGAGGGCTGGTTTGCTATCTCTGACAATACACTACAATTCTGGAAAGAATCCCATGCAGAAAAACTGTTACTCATTAAATTTATGTTCTCTAAACTCTGAACATTATTTGCAAGTTTATTTTATTGTTAGCCTATTTCTAAGCAGTTTGGCTACAGTGCTTTATTGCCTAAGATACAAGTGATAATTCTAAGCATGTGCCTATTTTTATTTTTTGCTTTATATGTTATGTGCTAATACACCGCTTTAAACTTTAATTTAGTTCTTCCAGTGTTTGCAGTACAACTTTGATTTTTAAAAAATCTACAAATGTAATAAAACAGTCATAAGCAAAGGAGGTCTTAGTTCTTATTGTTTTCCGTCCCATGGAAGATGGTAGGTAACATTTCATGTATGATAAATCATCTCTCTTCATCTGTTTTTTTCTTTATGTAGATGAAGATGTCAAACCATTTACTCCTGAGAAAACCAAGGAAATTGTGATGTCGCTACAGCAACCTGCAGTCTTCTGTAACATGGTTGGCAACTGGCCAGCCCTGAACTGGAATGTGAAATACCTTTCTGCTGTGTTGGAGGGAAAGACAATCCAGTTTAGGCTGGGCTTGAAGACAGTGGATTTAGGTGAGAATGAGGTGGACAGGCATTAGTGTCACAAGTCTCTTTTCCAGGTCCTGCAATTATCTGCCTTTTCATTATAACTGTTTTTTCTCTAATGTATTGCTTTTCATTGTAGGCTTTGTTTTTAGGAATGGGACTTGGTCAGCAGTAGAACTGTCCCTTCTCTTTCTCATGTGTTTATTCTCAGTAAGAGGTCTGGGGAGTAACACCACCATTTAAGAACCAAGTGTCTCAGTTTTCCTTCCTTGCTCTGTAGTGTGTGTGTTTGGTCCTGGTCTTATACATGATTAGATTGTTCACATGAGCTGAGCTTCCATCTCCATAAGCCTGACTGTGTTAAGGAATTAGCTAAATAATCAGCCAGACTTGGGGTATTTATCTGTATGGTAGTAATTCTCACCTTCCTCCAGAGTTTTTTAAGACTTAGGTGATTTTCAGTACTTTAAGGTCCTGTGATGGAAGACATAATGGAAGTATAAAGCATTAAGAAAATCATTTGACACCAGTGCAATAATTTCACTGCTAACCCTCCAGATTCACTCATACATCTTGGAACATACCATGGGAGAAAGACAATTTTACAGCTTGATTTTAAATACTACAACTTCATCTCTCTCTGTAGCCACATAGTAGTGTGACCATGGACAGACTGAGTTTCATACCATGGAGGGGTGATAGAAGAAACATGTTCCATCTGCTATTTACTTGAAAGATTCTGCACTGCTTTATCCCTGCCCTTTACATCCTTTGCCCTCCCAACGACATACCAAAATACGTTTTGCCATGCACTTTCTCCCTTTTGCCTATATAGTATCTTGACTACCTTTGGGATTTTTTTTAACCCTTAGGCCAAAAGAATCCACTTTAAAAATATTTAATATGTCATGGTCTTTTAGATCCCACCCAACTATTCTTTCTGTAGTCTTCTAACCTTTTTCAGTTGGACTTCCTCTTTCTTGGAATGTAGAGTCTGCACAAAGACTCCAGATGAGGGTCTGCCAGTTCCAGTGAAAGTGGTAGGATTACATCATACTATCTTACTTAACACTGTGAAATTTGCTTTCTTCACAGCATCATGACCATGTTATTTCATGTTCAATTTTTGCAAGAGAAGTGATGAAACAGAAGTGTTAGAGAGAAAATGCTTGGCGTGTTAGGATTTCAAAGCATTTTACCAGCATGGATTAATGATTTCTATGCCATTCCTGGGGGGAAGAGATATTATTTACTCACTTTCTACAGATGGGAAAACTGAGGTGTAGAATTAAAACCTTGGTACACATCTTTATAGCAATATCTCTGTAATTCAATGAGGTACACCTAATTCTTGCAGTAAGTGTGAAATGCATCCCATTGCCAATAGAGAAGGAAAGAAGGTGTAGCATATATGTATATACATATATGTAAATGACACTTTCCTTGTTGCCTATATATCTTGTAACCTTATACCTTATTAATATATCTGAGCTGTAACACAGAAGGCCTACCAGATAAAAGAGTAGTTTTGGTCCTACTCCCCATTAATTAGTAGGCACTTTTTGAGAGCCAGATGGATGTTCCAACTGGCAGAGTTTCTGATGGGACTGATGAGTGTTACGTAGCTAAGTCACAGATTGATGCTACCAACTGAGTAGATAGGAGTCATCACTTAACAATAACTTGTAGTCACTAGAGATACAGAGTGGATTTAAATTGGAATTTATATCTTGAAGCATCTAACTGCATTTCGCTTTTTCCTAAAGGCATTTATCCCTGTGCAGCAATCAGTTTGTCTCCGGGAGCCTCCATTATGTGGTAATGTTGGTTAGAATTGTCTTCAAGGAGATTGGTAAAGCCTTCAGGGGTTATATTGTAACTGAATGAGACCTGTGATGCCATAAAAAATTTCAATATAAGAATATATTAGTGAAGCCATTATCCAAGCCATCTCAGAGTCTGAAATAATGTAACACATTCCGTGTGCCACTGTCATTTGGAAGGTGGTTGATCTCACTATTGCATGCTTAAAACTACTTTTAATGAGGGTCTCTCTTTCTTATTGTTCCTGCTAACTTTCCTAGGTGAAATGGAGCCAGTTATCTGCTCAGAGAGAGAACAGAATTTCTATTTTAGAATACAACTAAAATGGCATTGATCCCTCTGAATATTCCTTCCATGTTCACAAGAGGTTTATTGCCTTAAGACTAGGTGGGATGACTCCTACTATGGAGTTGGAAATGCTGAAGAAAAAATCCACTCTCCTGCTTAAAGGCACATTCTGGTGACACTCTGAAATGGCAGCTTCAGAGTTTCTGGAGTTATTTAAGTGAGGTTCGTCTGGAAAACTCAAAATTCATGGAGATCTCTTACTACAGCAACTCCTCATCTTTCTTTAGTGCCACATCTGCAGCCTGGATGGGTTTCCCAAGCTGAAGATTCCTTAATGTGCAAAAGTGAGAATTGCAAATGGGGCAACTTGGTGGGAGTTGCAAGGATTTTATATTTGCTTTTCTTACTAGTTTGTAATTTCCTGAGGCAAATCGATGTGGATGGCACATTTGAAACATGGAAAAATGTGAGAGCTAGCAGTATTACTTGTGTATATTATTTGTACCTGTGTGTTTGATAGTATTCCATCTGATTTCACAAGTTAAACAGTTTGTGTCCATAAGAAAGGGAAAAAACTACAATCAGAGGACTAAGCATTGACAAAAGATACCTTCAAAGAGAGTACCAGAGTTCATTACAAGAACAGTGAAGATGCTATTAATCAGGAAATCCCTACCCATCTGGTTCCAGCCACACTAAAAGATTTATAAGGATGGGATAAGGGATAGGCCAAAGCTTCAGAAGTTTTGCTTCTGACAGAGAAAATGTAGCATTACAGCTCTTGTGTCTGATGGCTACCTGGAGCACAACAGCACAAAGTTAGGAGAAAACTTACACAGAACTGATTTCTGTATGCAGGCATTTCTTGTTTTGACCATTTTTGGTGGTTGCATAGTAAAATGAATCAACAATGAGTTTACTGTGAAGAAGCTGGAGAGAACAAGAAGCTGTCATGCTGATCAGTTTCTGAGTCACAGGATCTCTGGAGGATGTTTCTCTCACTGATGCTGGATAGAGCTGATGCTGTCAGATGTGCAGCTGGATAGGAAAGGGCTGCGTTTTCACCATCTTGCCAAAGAGGTTTTACCACTCAAACTAAGGATGGCAAAAGAATTCAGATCTCTGAGGTTTGATATAGAGGGAGACTGCAAAGCTTGCTGCAGAATCGGTAGCTGAATAGGAGGCTGGAAACACAGTACAAATACTGATTAAATTTTGCATAAAGCTGAGATCTGAAGTGGTTATTGGAGTTGGATGTGCATGGCCAGGTTTTTTTGTTTGTGAGTATGCCTGTGCTTTGTTAGAGTGGGAAGTGACTATTCCTTGCTTGAATTATTTGTTTAATTCCCCAGCAGCTGTGAATAGGGGTTTGGTTTTCTTTAAAGAAATGGAGAAGATATTTTACTTGCATTCTTAATGGACCTTTAGGTGTTTTCTAAGGCTATTACACCTTTTTTTTCCCCCTACATTTTTCCTACATGTTTCCTTGAAAACACTCTGAGAAGAACAGATTTTGGCAACGCTCAGAACCAGACCTTAACTAAGGAGGAGAGCTGCTTCACTAAAGCCCATTTTTTCCCTCTCTCCTCCCCTCCAGTTTCAATCTGTGGTATTAGGGGAAAGAGGAGGACTGTTATGCCTTCAGGTACCGTGTCATCAGGCAGAACTGGCAGCCTACTTTAGACTTGCATGGCTTAATCTGCAATTTGTCAATTACAAAACACCCTCAGCTTCACGTAATTAAGTATTAGCAAACTGGTTAATAATGTCTTGCTTTCCATTGCTCATTGCTAACATTCTCACCCTTGTTGCAGCCTACAACCTACAAACCCATCTAAGCAAACAGTCTAGATTGCCCAAATATGTTTTTTATTACTATTTATTTTTCCATAAGCACCCACACCTTGGTACTGAATAAGGAATAAATCAAACCAAGAACCCTGCCCTGAGGAGATTGTATTCTACAAGATAGTCTTGCTTTTCATAGTTGGATTTTTTAAAAATGAAACTCAGAGTGAAATATGCTGAGAGGTAGAAAGAGCATATTTCTTGCCTTTAAAACATTTGCTTCTGAGTTATCTTGGAAAATAGGCAGTGTCCTAAGAGTGTCATGAAGTGAAAAAAGAGTGTCCTCTTTTTTCTCATGAAAGTAATACAGGCACCTTCAGTATAGCTTCTATCTTTTGTCTAATCTTTCTGTCAGACCATCTTTTAGTAAAATGATAAACATTGCATTAAAACCTGGGTATCAGGAGAGGGGGTGCAACACAGATATAGGATCCGACACAGAGGGTTTTGGTTGTGGTTTTGTGACTTGCAAGTGATTTATATGTCTTGTATGCAGTCCTTAGGTAGGGAGCCCATCCACAGACATTTTTAGTTAATGATTTGATAGTAGTGGGAAGGAAACCACTACCTCTGCTACTACAAGGGAAAATAATAGTGATAAAGGTTTGTAAAAGCTGTATGAGATTGTGTGAGAACTGCTGCAGTAACAAAATGAAAGTGGTAAAGAAAGAGCTGCTGCTGCACAGCAGTGAAAGGATCCCATTTCTGGGCAGCTCTATGCAAGTTACACAAGATTAAATTGCAGCTCTGTCATTGTCATTCATGCAGGCTGCAGTAATTTTTCCCCAGCAGTAGTTATAGTGAAGTAATATTTTTTTAACAGTGGATAAGTCTCTTTGAAGATGGCACAATTAGTGGTGGTGGGGAATTAAGATCTCTGATTAACTGCAATTAAAATATACTGTGCTGTGGGTTATCTTACAGGCCTTCCAAGTGACCTGACCTTGAGCTGAAAGGCTGTATCAGTCAGCCTGACCAAAGCATGCTGGGAGCAAAACCCTGCTGGTAAACACTTTCTGTGTCTGCCAAGGAACACTGCAATATGCTTTTGTCAGTCCCAAATGAAAAATAAGGGCACACAGCATTTTAGATGGATCATTGGCAGCATGTGTGTGGTTTCATATATCACTTTCTATGCATGACCACACTGGTTTGGTCATTGCTTTAGGAAAAGGGTAAGATGAACATGTCCATCTGCATAAATCTATGGAGGCAAAATAAAGGATACAGAAATACTTTATGTGCACATTTGCAACTCACAATTAGGAAGGGAGATGAAGCAAAGTAGTTTAGTGAACTTGGGTGTGTTATTGAGTTACTATGCTGAAGAACAATACTAACTATTGGTCTGCTTTTGTCTCACAGCATGTTCAAGGTAACAGCCATTCAATTAAACCTTAATGAAAAAGCAATAGTTTCAGACTTCACTTATGAGTAAGGTCATGAGAACCATTTTATTGACCAGAGTCAAGCTACCTAGTCAGATTCATATCAGATGTTGCATTTAACCAGAGCTGAAAGAAACTATATTATTTTTACTGGTTCTATGCTCAGTGCTCACGTAGTATTTGATTTTTCTTTTGCTGCTGTAGTTCCCCAGTTTGAAACCAGTTGCAGCTACGTGGAAGCTACACTTGAGGAGTTTTTGGCTTGGAGTTTTGGGCAGCCTTCTTGTCTCTCTGGACCATTCAGTTGTTATGATTACTCCAAATACTGGGCTTATGCTGACTACAAGTACATTGCCAGGATATTTGAAGACAAGCCAGAAATATTCCAGGTAAAACATTAATATTATCTCTTCCTAGTTGAACCATTGCAAATTATCTAATGTATCTTCTGAAACCACTACTGCTATTCCTCTCTGCTCCTTTGCCCACTTATTTTAAAATTCTGAAATAAAAGCTATTAGCTCTCAGACTAACTGAAATCTGCCAAGTGGCAGCCATCAAAATTCTGGGTCTCCTTATAGATTTAGAAATACCATCCCAAGTGACATAAAAGAATTACCGGGCTGGCATCACTCTCCTTCCCATTTAGGCCAGATCCACCTTGCACCTAAATGGTGCCCAAATTAACAGCTCCACTCAGGAGGGAGGATTGATGGTATGTATTTCATTGTAGTAACAAGGCTGTAACATGGCTCTGCTCCATGTTTTGCCTTGTGGCTCATTTTCTTAAGTAGCTCAGCTCCTTTCCTTAATAGAATTAGATTAACTGTTTGTGAGGAGGAGAGATTCTGTGGTGGCAGTAAAATACAGGAAGTAACCTGTCCATGGAAGTATGTAATTACCATACACAGTAGGAAAACTACCCAAGGTATTTCCTTTTATTTTCTCTTTGCCTATCTTCTAGTTCAATGTCTTGCTTCATCTACATTCCTGCTACTTCTCCTTGCAAATTGTAAAAGGGCAAAATTAAGGATAGCTATACAAAAGGTATACTTCAAAAGATGTAAAGAAAGAGTAAGTAAAACCTTATTCGTTTCTATACTTTGAAAGGTGAAAATGGAATCATAATTCCCTGTAAAATCACTGCATCACTGGGGTGACAATGAGTATGAACTGATAAGCCCCGTCAAATTAATTATTTCCTCAGAAAGCATTTCTCATGCTCCTCATATGTATTTTATTCTTTTGTAAAATTGGTGGTTTTCAGTGATCAGTCTTTTTTTCAGACTTCCAGACTTTTAAGACTTTCCGTTGGGTCGGAAGGTAAGGATTGGGCACAGAGATCGCCTTACCTTTCTTTCCCCCTTCCCTTCCTGAGCACACTGAAACATAACCAGGATCACATAACCTTGGGCTGGTTTGTATTGTCTGCACTAAACTGGGAGCTCCAGGGATGTTTCAGGCTTCCCCAGATCTTTGCATAACTTTCTCTGTGGTCCTGTCTTGGTCTTCTCTTTTTCTGCCTCCACAGACAGCATTTCCATGTTTCTTCCAGCAGAAGCCAACAGCAGCTCAGAAGTCCTGAATATCCCATTGCTTCCTTCACACCTGAAGGACACAACCATTTTCTACCTTTTTCTTTCCCTTGCCCCCATTCAAGAACAAAGCTGAGGCTCCAGGAGTTGCATTTCTGTGCAGGTGCCATGCCACAATCTGATCACCTGACCTAACAACACAACAGATTGTACTGCAGTTTTAGAATAGACACACATAATGGTTATGCCATGGATTTTTTTTTGAAAAGCAGAATATGGGAAGGAAAGAATCGGTGGTGTTATGCAAGCAAATATGGTGTGTGTTATCTGCCATTTTCACAGGCATGGGAGAGAAATGCATCCATCAGTTCCACACTCACATGGTTTTTGAAACATTGCTACACAATTTATACCAGCCAAAGGAGTTCTTTATAGAAATTCTCTTCCATTCTTGTGTGAATTTGATGATAACTCCATTTTTTCCTTCTAGATTTTATTTAGATTTACGTGAGGTTATTTGAAGGGGAAAAGAAGGCCAACTGCACTGTTATTTATAGTGATTAATAGGGCCATTTAGAAGTTGTTTGAAATTTAGATTGCACTGTTTATCATTTACAGTTGTGTGGGCTAAGGTAATGATTCCATTATTCTAATCTATGAGCAATATCTAGCATCTTACATTTTTTGTTCAGTTGATATTTCATTACAGAATTTGAGATATAAATCAGGAGCAAGATACATGCATGAAGTTTAAATAGAAATGAGACCTTTTAAAGTGACATACGGGTACAGATTAACTTCATTATAAGCAGCAAATGAAATAAATATATATCACAAGTAATGTGCCATCTGTTATGGTTGGAACACCTTTTAGTGCATTTCTTCTTACTGTGGCTTTTTATTGTAGAAAAGGAACCCAGTGTGACAAGATTTCAGTAATACTACCAGTTCCTTTTCAGTTCATTGGTTAAAAACTATTTTACCCATAATCGCTTCAACTATTTACTACAGCAGGAGCATTTTCAAAGAGTTCTTTTAAATCTAATATTGATTATGTGTGCTTTCTTTTCACTTAAATTGTAACAAAATATAAAAACTATTTAGGTGTGAGATTAAAGTGTAGAAATGGTGCTACGCTTAACTTTTTCACTGAAATAGTTGTATTGAATTTCAAATTTTATGCCTGCTAAAATCTATAGAAGCAACTTTTTCTTTTTGATCTTTTGCTGTCTTTGACAAATGTTTATATTACACTTCTGCATTTTTTTCACATGATATCTTTAAAATCAATAACTCTGAAATTCAGAATCTTTAGCAACACCTAATTTTTGGGAAGGCTATCGCTCACTTTGAGGGTCTCCTGATGCAGAGTCGTGGTGAAGTCATCCTTATAATGTCTAGCTGTAGTTTTTGTCATCCATAGATCTTAAAAAAGGATAGTCATCCACCTGTCTGCAAGCAGCAAGCTTACATACTTAAATTAGGACTCCTAGACTCCTATTTTCTCTTTATAGACAGCAGAAAGAGAGAGGCTTTTCCAAGGCTTGATTGAGAGTGCTTTGACTAGAGCAGGAGCCAAGATTAAATTAGGTTCCTAAAGTTAGGTGATGTGAATGACCCCCAAAGTGCTTTACTGAAATGGAACAAATACAATTATCTTCCTTTTCAAGATGGGAAAAATAAAACTCAGAGATGAAGCGATTTGCCCAAGACCATCAGGAAGCCAGAAATTTAATCTGTTTCCTAAGGCTCAGCCTGGGGCTCCAGCCAAAAGGTGCCAGTATCTCTGGCCAGTATTCCTCAAGTGCTTTCCAATAAACAAATGATCAGGCCCTGCAGGTGGCAGGGAGAGCTGTAGATACACGGGAAATCTTTATCCAAGCTACACAGAACCATTCTGCAAAACCCTTGGATTGTCTGAAAAATTCCTCACTGTGCCTCTTTCCAGCTGTCAGGCCCAAGAGATTGCTTGTGGTAGGATCAATGGACTGGAAAGATCCAGCACTGTGTGCATAATATGTGTACACCTGTTCTGCCCTTTCTCCTGTCATCAAGTTAAGTTCACTGCTTCTGCAGTTGCAAATGCGTCCATAAAATAATAAGCAACTTAATCTGGCATAACATTGGGTCACAGATGGGTAAAGTCTGTGTTCCCAGACTATGTGGAGAAAGCTGAAATAGGAGCAAGGAGAGAGCAAAAATTCCACGTAGATTATCAATTGTTTGAAAAGGGAATAGGGATTTTTCTTTCCTTCTTTCCTTTCATTATCTTTTTAAATGCCATATATAAGAATTTTTCTAAAAGCAATCCTGACCTTGGGTGGATGGTTAAGGGTGGAGAAAGATAAAAAAGAGTGTTTGAAAAGGAAAAGAAGCCCCATGTGGCCATGCAAATTTGGGCAGCCCTTCTGTAGAGCAAAGGAGTAACTTGAGTGATATGAAAGGTGGGGATGAGAATTTTGGAGGAAGTGGAACAGACTGTGCATGCTCCAGAACCCAACCAGGGAAAAACAGCTGCAGTGGATAAAAGTGATGAGCAGTGGAAGAAGACAGGAGACTCTCAGAACTAAGGATAGGATGTCACTCAGTTCAACAGCTTACATAAATAAACCTTTTTGTTGCTGTAGGATGTAAGGTGGTCTGACTTTGGTTTTCCTGGAAGAAGTGGAAAAGAGAGCACACTGTGGATTGGTTCTGAAGGAGCAAACACCCCCTGCCATTTGGACTCCTATGGCTGCAACTTAGTGCTGCAAGTACAAGGAAGGTAACAAGTGCACATAAATACAGCAGAGAGTTATACTGTGCATCAAGTTAGTTTTGGACTCTTTTAGTATTAATTCTAGGTCCTGATTATTTCAGATTTCAGTTTTCTGAGTTCTCAATGACTGAAGAGCACCCTAAGTGTTCTACAGGAAATGGCAGAACTTCAGGGCATTCTGGAGTTTACACAATTTCTAGTCTGTGTGTCATATGGTCCAATTATAAACACTTTAATCTTTCTAGTGGTCATGAATTCAGGAATTTGGAATGAGGAGATAAAAGAGTTAAAAATAAAAAGCCCCAAAACAAAATAGAAATAAACTACTTTAGACTTTTACAATATTGTCTGTGCAAGAGCCTCTAATAGCCTGCTAGATTTAATTTAAAAGGGGACCATCAGGATGGGAGCAGCCAGCTGTGAGCAAAGTTGAAAGGGACATTTGAGGCTCCAAACTCATTTGGGAGCATGTGGCTGTTGCTGTATCTTTCTGCCTGTTTGCATGCTGTCTTCTTTTTTTTCTTTCCCATTCTTTTTTTTTTTTCTCCTTTCCTTGCATATTGGCCTCAGGGTTGGTGGGGTTTTTCTGGTTTTTGGGTTGTTATCTATTACTGCTAGAGTAGTGCTAGAGTAACAGAACAAGTTGCACACACTTTCTATGCTTTATAGTATAGAGTGGAAGGAGAAGTCTGCTAGGGGTTTTTCAATGGGATTAATTACTCTGCCATTTTACAGAACAGTAAGATTGTGGTGGTGTTGTGATTAAGGTGCAGGATTGGAAGTCAGGTGTGTTGCCTTTTAGCTGGGCAGTGCCACATGCTGAGTGGCTTTAAGGCCTGAGGTAAATGAATTTGTCATCATTTTACCCTGAAGAAGGGTAACTCTGTGTAGGGTTTTCATTCGTGTTTGTAAACAGCCTTGAGGTCCTTGGGTGGATGTGCAGCAGAGACACTCTAGAAGCCTCTAAAGTGCTGCAGCCAATCCTGTAGACTTCAGATCACATCAGTAAGCATTGTGCATTGAAGTCCAGACACTTTAGTGTATTCAGGAGCCAGAAATCTCAATGAAAACTATGAGACTTAAATGCCATAATCTTCTAAGGATCCACTTAAATACTGGGTGTACTAAATAAGTACAGTGATGTAGCAGACACAATACATGCCAAGCCTCTTTGATCTGTACCTTCAGATGCTAAACTTGAGCCAGAATTCCAGCATCACACAGCAATTCTGTCCACCTTCCCAAGGCACTTCCTCCCCCTCAAGTAGACCAAAATCCTTGTTCCTCTCAGGGAAAGAAATCCAAAGCCCTTGCACAGCTTGAAAAGACAAAGTTGTTTTCCTCTTCAGAGCAAAGCCTGTAAACAGATTGCAAACTTCCACAACCTTGTGAATCCTGTGCTTCTTCAGAGCAGAAAGATTCCCTTTTGAGACTCACAAACAAGGCTTTGTAACAGAATATAAGCTTATGCTAAATTTAAATAGATTTGCCTTTGCAGGAAAGCCAGGGACAGCTCCTTAGCCCTTTGTTGCTATCTTGAATTTCCTCCTTGCATCCCTTAGGCTTCTTAATTTTTTGCTTTATGATACTGCTTTGCCAAGAGCCTGCAGGATTAACCCTGAGCCTCCTAACCTAGTCATTCTCTGCCCCCTCAGAGGATCTAGCTTGGAGGGCAAAATAAAGTTGCAATAAGGCTTGAGTTTCAGGAGAAGTGGTTTTATACTTCCATCCAGCAGTTGCTTTGGTAATTACCAAGAAATATCAGCAGCCTATGGCACTTGCATCTGTGCCGGTCTCTGTAGTTCTGACTGTCCTGCTATTCCTATCTCTTCTGTTCCTGTCCCTTTTGGTTTTGTGCCATTTGGTTGCTTTGTTCCCATTTTCAGATCTATGACTTAGAGGTGACAACCAGAAGCAGTAGACAGAATTCAAGAAGTGAGTGCCAAGGGAAAGCAAACAAAGAAAAGCCCTTCCTAGAGTCCAAAACAAAGAGAAGAGCTACACAAGCTCTCCAGCTATGCTGTAAACTGCTGCCTTTACTTTTCCATTGCCTAGTGCATTGGTCATGTTGCACTGTTTGTCTGGCACCTCTTAAATGTAATAAATTATCTTTGTGTATTCCTTCTGGTTATTTATATCACCTAAAGTACTGCCATATAAAAGTATTTCTAAATACCATATGTACCTGCTATTTAATTTATAATGCCCATCAAATTGGCACCACCAGTTCTGGCATATTCTTTTTTTCTCTTTGATCTGGTCTGTGTAAGTGAAATAGAGACATTAGCTCCTGAGGACAAAGTGTGGTCTCAGCTCTGCTTGGCCTTTGCACTGTGGTGCATTCATGTGCTTCTTTGGGCATGTAGAGAGCAACCTGGCACATGAGTGCCCTCATGAGCAGAACAACCCTGTCCTGCTCCACCTGGCATTTAGTCACACCAGTAAGTTCTTAAATGCACAACCAGCCACATTTTCATCATGTGGTACTGATAACACAAAAAAATACAGCTGTTTAAGGATACTTTTGTCTATGGATGTATCTGTTTTTTATTCATGCTGTCTTTGGCATGGGAACATCAAGGTGATTTTTACTAAGAATGGGGGGTTCACAACTAACAGCCATGTAAGGAAACAGAAGATAATGTCTACACCCTTTTACTGTAGCCATCCTAAACACACGATGCCCTCCTTTCAAAACAAATACAGATTTTGAAAGCTTTTCATTCAGTGAGCAAAAATACATTGTCTGTAACAAAACTATTTCCTCTAGTTTATAGAGCAATTTTTAATGCTCTGAGCATCTGTAAATGCTGCATGTAAAAAGGAGGAAGAAGAAACCAGACAGGAGAGGTTTTTTAAATTTTATCTGCCTTTAAAAATGATTGGTGAGAAGCTGTAAATCTTCTCAGTTAAAAAATTAAAAGTGGAATATTTTAAAAACACTTTCAGGAGACAGCCTGTAAGCACTGGCTGTGTTCTCACTGCGTAGGAGATTCACACAGCGAGGCAGATTTATGTTTTATTGAAAACCTTGCTACTGCCTTTAGTTCTATGCTGCAAGTGATATGCACTGAATACATTTCTATCTTCTTTCTATTTTCAGGAAGAGATGGCACCTCTTCCCACCTGGTGACACCAGTTTCCTTTATCCTACCAGGATCCCTTATGAGGAATCCAGTATATTCAGCAAAGTCAACATTGCCAACCCTGATCTGAAACGCTTTCCTGAGTTTAGGAACTCAACAGCCCATGTTGTTACACTCAGTCCAGGACAGGTACCACTTATATATGAGCTTTACGTTACCTAATATTCTATTTAACTGGCTAATTAAGGGCTGGGAAATCTTAACAAATTGACTGTGGAACTTTGCTCTTCGTTCACTCCACATTCAGACTTCATAGATTTCTCTCAGTACAGAAACTTTCTTCACTGACAGTTATTTGCCTAGACTTTTTTGTACAAAAACTGCAAACATCTGGAGAGCTATCAGTCAGCTGCCTGATTCATAGATCAGAGTTCACTCAGCTGCTTGATTCCATACAACCACCTGCCTCACCTCAAATTTGTCTGCTTCAGAACCTTGTTGAACTCTGACCTGTCTACTCTGACAGCACTATATTGCATAAAATGCATTTGGTTAATGAGTATATAGAGCTAGCAAAGGAACTCATATTTTAGTAGCGAATAGCCTTCACCTGTTGCTTTACTAAATACTTTAATGATGATATTTGCATTTAGAGTGCACACCATTCACAGGTTTCCTGGTGCTTTACAGGGCTGTGAGGATGTTTTTAATCCTGCTTTACTGAGAAGGTTCAGCTGTAAGTGCCTGGCTGACAGTCACACAGGCAGGCAGCAGCAGTGTGAGAGTAGGGCTCAGGACTCTTGATTCCCAGTCTCCTGCTGTAAATAGTGTCCTTCTTTATTTAATCAACAAGGTCTGTATTTGGAGTCTGAATTACCCTTATTCATTTGTTCAGCCATGCATGTCCTGGTAAGGCACTGCTGTGCATCTCAAACTGTCAGGCCCTTCCAAAGGAATTTTGCAATGGTCATTGCTCAGACAGTGGAGTTGCTGCTTCTGGAGCCCTTTCACTATTCTCCTACCAGATATTGTCACCTCTTTTGACCTGCCAGCTCAACAACTTGTACGGGAATTCCCCTGTCCCTAACTGGCAAACCCAGCTGCCTTCAACAATTTAAAGAGTGGATTTTTGCTAATTAAGTTAATTTTGAGGAGGCAGAGTAGGGCAGGATGGTACCCATCCTGATGGGTAAAAGGATGATACCCATCAACTGGAAGTGTATGCTCTACAGTTGGTACAGATGCAAATGTGGAATCTATGATCAGCCTTTACTGTTTGCACTACATTAGCTCATACTCATACTCCTAAAGCAAATAGTTAGTTTCACATTCAGCACTTTCTAAGGTTGCAGCAGTCAGTAATTTAAAGCACAAAGAACAAAGTTTTGCTATTGATAAAAATGCCACATCTATTCAGCACCGAGTTATCCCTGATCCCCAATACTATTTGAATTTATAATCTCCTTTGCAATGATCAAGCAGACTAGTGAACCTTTAATATGATCTTAATTTTAATTAGGCTTAAAGCAATTACAAATTAATCTTGCAGGAATAAAGATCTTGAGCCAGCTCAGTAATACAATTTGTCTGCATTGCCATGAACAAGATACTGTTTGGATTTCTTGGGGGGGAAAGTAATGTAGAAGCAATGATGGAGCAGTGAAGTATTGTCTTTGTCCATTTTATCAGTGCCTTCTGTGTGGTGCTTGCCAGCATCTCATCCAGGAGCTTTTGGGGCAGGTGGCTGGGAGCTGCTGCCATTTGATGGAGAGGAAAAGAATGATCTAGAAGAACTCCTTTATTAACAAGGGAGAGAATTCCTAAATAATGTCTTGATATGTGCTTAACAGTGGTTTTCACATAGAATTAGCCCAATTACTGAAGAATTTGTAGGCATCTTTATTTTGTGATAAAATGTAGCATCTCCACACATTCCCAGAGGGTATGCAGAACATTTTGGATTATTGTAACAATAAAAGGCTGAAAAAACGAAGACAAAGGTGTTCTTAGGTATTCAGGAGAGCAGCTGCATGTAGAGTGAGTGCAGCTTTGAATATCAAAAACTTAATGTGTCTAATGCCACCTTCTGGTCGATGTTTGCTACCAGCCATTTTTTACACCCTCTCTGCCTGAAAGCAGAATTCCTTCATGCAACATTGTGTCAGTGCACAGAATGTACTTCAGTTAGATCCTTTGTGCCCTTCCACTGTACAGAGGTGAACCTCTATTATGAATTTTGGTAGCTGATTGAGACTTAAGGTTTTATAAGGTTTCATCCTGTACCTGACCACTGGCTGTCAGCTGCATTTCAACAGAAATAACTTCTGGTTATACATTAGTGATCTGTTCTGAAACAAATTATGAAAACATTGAGATGTCAAGCTTGCTTGAAGAGGCAGCTGAGTAGTGGAAGGGCTTGAAGCAGTACTATATCCACTGTATCAAGTGAAAGTTACAAGCTCAAGTTGTGTCACACAAATGTAGGGGGTCCTTATAAATGTTTGGACCTGGGCACCTATTTGATGGTTGCAAAGCTGAGGATTAAGTATGGAGCAGCATTTCTAGTAACACCTTCTCTCAAATATACAAATACTCCCTAAAAGACCAGAAATGGGACAAAACACATCTGTTCTTGTATCTTCTACCCATGCTCTGGGACAAGTGTTAAGAGAGTTAGAGATCTGTCACCCTCAGCCTAAATCCTGTTCAGGACAGGTGTGCTATCTGCCATCAGTGGCACCTGGCACCTCAACAAGGTGGTTCATCCTTCCTGTCTTACACAATTACAGTCCTGCAGGAGCATTCATCCCACCTTGTCCTTCAGCACAGGCTGTAGAAGGAGCCTGTGCACATAGATGCTTAACTTTTTTGATGATTAAAAATAGGAAAGATGAATATCACCTGAAAAGGCTACAAAAACTGAGATGCTGTACAAGGATAAAATCATTGATCATTCTTTCCTCTGCCCCACTTCTCACTGACTTTTGGCTTCCTTCCTGCTCTCTAATGTAATTGCTCTTAATCCATCTCCCTGTTAATCCATATCCACATAACTAGACAATGGTAGGGAGGCTATAAAGTGATCAGAGTTCATCTGAAGGTATGGAGAGCAAGCAGCTGCCACTCTGGACCCCTGTGAGCAATCCCATTCCCCCTCTTGCCAGCCCAGGCAGGTGCTGTTGGAGGCAGTGCTTGCCTGCCCTGTGCCCCAGGGCAGCCTGGGGCCAGAGGAGCTGCAGTGCAGAAGTGCAAGGAAAGGCCTGACTGAGCTAATCCAAGAGGCACATTGGGTCTGAGAAGGATCCCCTCCCTCTGGCCTTGAAAAAAATTGTCACTGGATGGGAAAAAAAAACTATTTTAGAAAAATATGAACATTACTGCTTGCTGGTTCTCACCATGGTCTGCTGCTCAGAAACTCCCTCCCCTGCTTCTGCTTACCTGCTTTCTCAAAGTCTAAAAGAAACACATTTATGTGGCCACAAATACAGTTGTCACTCAGTTCCTGTGTTTAAATGCAGGATTTTCTCTTTCTGCGCTTCTGCTGCAGAATCTAACACACCCTGGGATCCTGCTCAGCAGCAGAGCTCCCAACAGCACAGGCAAACCTCTGACTTTTAACCTAACCCTGAGCAAGAAGAAATCTTCATGAAGTCAGGGAGGGATTTCCCTGTGTGCTGCCTTTAAAGAAAGGGTGTGAGAACATCAGACTGGGCTTAAAGTGGGGAGCAATAGAACACACAGTCTGGATAGCCAAGAAAAATATAATTGATACCAAAGAAAAGTGTTTTAGTAAGTCAAGAAATGCAGTAATTCAAAGGTAGTATAATGTTCCAGCTCAAAGTATACAAAAGACTTCTTAAATGGGGTTACAGTAAAAAAACCTACTTTTTTTTTGGAAAAGAATTTAAGTGATTTTACTAAAAGAGAATTCAGAGTTGGCCACACCATTATGCATAGTAGATGGCTGGTAATTCTGGGGAAGGAATAAAGAGTTTTCACGTGGGAGACTGCAGCGCTGGCCCCAAGTCACTCCATAGGGAAGGCAGACAGCCCAACCCAACCTCAGGACACCAGAACTATGATTTCCATCACAGAAGAAGCAGAAGAGTCCAGGAGCTGAATTTAAGCTAGAATTGGTGCTAAAAACACTGCTCAACCTGCAACACCTATGGAGAACCCCATGAATGCCACAAAAACAAAGGGTCAAAGCTGCAATTTCCTGACTCTGCTTCTCCACCTCTTCCCTGAGCTTCCCTTGTTCTCTCACCTGGGTCACTGTGGGCATGGCCTGATGCAGCCCCACTCCCTCCTCTTCAGTGTGCCTTTCCCCATGGCTGTGCCTGTGTTTCTGACACCAGCTGCCCTTGGAGCTCCATTTCAGTGGACAGGAAGACACCAGGAGGGAGGAGGAGGCAGGATGAGAAGCACCTTCCAAGCACCAGGAACAGCCAGGCTCCAGCTGGGATGAGGCATAGGCTGGGGCAGCAGGGCTCACAGAGTCCTCAGGTGGTGTTCTGGAACTGGCTATGCCTGCACCTACTTCATTTTACGTTTCATTGCCATGGTTGTGAACACTTCTGGGATTTCCTTGGGTCCCCCTGTGGCTCAGTGTCTTTATCTTCCCATAACACTGGCTTCCTTTTTGTGTGCGTTTACCTAAATATCTTTTTCTAATGAGCAGAAATTTCTTGGCATAATATTTCACTTCAGGATGTGCTCTCTTTTTGAAGCAATTCCACCTTTGCCCTACCTTTGCACTGTATCAAGTTAATCATGTCCACTGAGAATTCAAACCTGCTCTGTTCTCTGTGCTGTACAAGTCTTCAGCATTGCTCCACTTGCTCTCCCAACTGTTCCTTTGGTTTCTTTCCTCCCATTACAGCATCTCATTTTATCTTTTCTGGGACTTCTGTCCTACTTTAACTTCATTTGCTATATTTGGCTGTCACTAGCCTAAATATTGAAATTATCTGATTGGTTACAGTTTAGATCAGTATCTTCCCAGCACGAATAAAGTTAGATAAGTTCTGTGGAAAGCGGGCTAGCACAAGATTATCTCTCAGCTTGGAGTAGTTCTGTCTTGCTATTGCACTTTACGTTTTCCCTGTAAAATGTTTGCTGCAGTTGTGTGTGTTGTTTCACTGTGGCTTACTTTCACGTCTCCTACAGGAATGTAGCTAAATCTGTGTCCCATAGTCATAAACATATGAAAGTCTGCTTTTTTTAATTGTGAAATTGATCGTTAGAGGCAGCGGTGGTGGTTTTTTTGTTTGTTTTCATTTTGTTGTGTGTCTGTTTGCTTCTAATTTGAACACCTAGAAGAATACTAGTTTGTAAATGTAGAAGAATCCTACCTTTCTTTTCTGGGTTGTTTGGGTTCTGGGGCTTTTTTTTTTTTTTGGTCTTGTTAGTTCTGGTCTCTTTGCCAGCTGTATTTTTTTGATTTAATTACCTTTTTTCATTTCTTCATCTTTAATAAAGTTTTAGTCCTTTTGCTTTTTGATAACTTCAATTTTCTTGTTGCTATAAATCCTAATTTTAACAAGCATAAGCTTGTTCAACAATAAAAGAGGGAGAGCAAGTGTCTTTATGGAGCCTCTTTTGCCTATTTGAGTCACAGCTCTGTAGCTCTTCTATAAACTGCATCAGCAAACAGTGCCAGCTGCAGAGAGACACAACTTTGCAGTTATTACCCTTAACCTGCTGGCAAGGGAAATCTGATTAGTCTCTAAAGGACCAAGTTCCTCCTCTTGGCTTGAAAACACAGGACAAGTTGTGGGGATTGTATTTTCCTTCTGGCTGTACCTGCTCTCTCCAAAGCAAATCTGTCTCCCTTTTGCAGTCATGTGGAGCCAGCATGTTCCATGCCTGATTTCCTTCTTGGTTTTCCAGGCAGCATCTCTTACTGAAACATTTATGCATTTTCCTTAGTCGTGTTCCCTTGCCACACAGTCCCTCCCCAGTGTCTGCATGCCCTCCTCCAGCATGCTGCAGCTCGCTGCTCCTGCACAGGGCTCACAGGAGGGATCCCCTTGGTGCAAACGGCCGCTTACAGGAGCTCTGCTTTCTTCTGCTGTAACACAAGGTTTGCCAGGGCTCACATTACACCTGGCCACTTGGAGGGCACCCAGAGACTTTAGCAGAGTTCAGTGTAAGATCCCCTGTAGAGCAGATGAGCACTTGGGGAGGGGGGGTTTGCATGATTTTGCAGTCAGTGAAACTAAAAAACCCTTAGCATAAACCAATTGCTGCTAATGCAACTGCACTGTTCATTTAAAGTGGATGTTTCCTTGATAAAAACAAAACTCTGAAACATGTTTTGGCTGCATTCTATGGGGTTTCATACACTTATATGTCAGGACTAAGTAGTGATATTTTTAAAATAATGACCCTCCACTGACTGACTTCCTCTTCTGTTCTGTATGCTGTACCGGATTAGAGAATAATTTCCAAATGTTTTTGACCTTTGGAGAGCCAGTGCTTCTTTTTGTTTGACTTAAATTTAAGCCTGTGGAGAACATTTGTCATCTGGCCCAAAAAATGAGAGTGTTCCAAGTGTCCTGTGTTTGCAGGACTGGTGCCATTGTTTCCTCCACAGACATCTTCTCATTAGCTGTGTTTTGATATAATGAAGCACAGGGCTATCTGGGTAGCAGAACATTCTAAGAAATTTGTGTCTACCAAGAGAAAGAACTGTCTGCAATTCAGATACAGATCATTGCTTTGCTTTACCCATTGTGAAGTATATATTTTTATCTCTCTCTGACCATTTTTATAACTTGTCAAAAAGTATCTTTCATGCTTTTCTTGATAGCTCCATGTTACTCTAATGTTCAGTAATCTGCAAAGCTTGTCCTCTATCATCAAAACAACATCAGTGTCTTGTACCATAAAAACCATGGGTTGGAATCAATTTTATGTCACAGCTATCATCCTGATATTGTCGTAAAGCTCTGATCTAAACTAGATTGCCCCAGAAATCATGACATTTTCTTTTAAAAGCCTGTCTACTAAAAGTGACAAATTTAATACTGGTGATTATTTACCAGAATTAAAGCTGCATTTTGTCACCTAGTCACCTAGATGAGCATAGGCATGCCTGCTTTTTGGGAAAGCCAGCTGGCAGTCCTACAGGAACTGGGAAGTCTGCTCAGTTGGAGAGTCTACAAAAGAATTCCTGCTTGGCTGAGACTCTCTCTGAAGTCCTGATGTTCTGCTGCACCAGCTGCACCCCCTCTGTACTGCTGGACTTTGCTTACCCACAGCAATTAAAGGTTATAGTCCTGCTTGGGACTATATGGGAAGAAGTTTGGATGAAAGGTAGTTCTGGATCATGTCCATTTCTTACATAATACAGTGGGCATTTAAGTCTTGAGAAAAGGCTCTTTAAAAGAGAGAAATAATTATCACCTCTCACCTGTGTCCTTGCCTCAGTTCTGTCTCTACATCCCACATCACCTGAATTAAAAAACTCTGTCTTTCTTCAGGCTTCTGCCTGTACCCTAATGCAATGTCTCCAATTCCAGGTCCTGCTCGTTCCAAGGCACTGGTGGCACTATGTGGAATCCATTGATCCTGTCACTGTCAGCATTAACTCTTGGATTGAACTGGTATTTTCCTTTTAATGTCTTGGGGGTGTAGCACTTCCAAGGGATTTCTGTCCCTTTCCTGCCAGGTTCAGTCCTATTGGGTGTGTTGTGTTCAGAGGCTGGGGAGGGAAAAGCCCTTATGGATACATTTTTTCAGGAAGAACAATTCAAGGTTCCACATCTGAAGCCCCAGTTCAGCAGAAATCCCCTTTCAAGTTTACTTCAATCAGGTAAACAATTAAACACAAGCTAAATTTTCATGCCTAGTTTCTTAAAGGCCAGCCAGCTTTGTGCTGAATAGAGAACAAAAAACCAGGAACTTCACCTCAAGGACAAGCTTATGTGCAAAGCTAAATTAGAATTTAAATCAGATTAATGTGAATAGGAAGGGAGGAGAAGATTTTTGAATTTTCATTCCTCTGTGATAGTTCTGATTTGGCTGAAGTTGGATTTCCTCATGTATTTAATTAATTTTCTTCTCCCTGGGCTTTGATTTTTCTTGCTCATGTTAACCAGTATATATGGGATGGTTCCAGGGATATCATAAAATCATAGAATAGTTTGGATTGGAAGGGACCTTTAAGGGTTGTCTAATCCAATCACTCTACAAGGAGCAGGGCCATATTCCACTAGATCATCTCAGTACTCCAGAAGGTTTTCGGATTGACATTATTATTAATCCTAGGTTAATATTAAAATAAAAAAAAAAAAACCTTGTGAAATGGCCTTCCTAAAATACTCACTGCCTTTTTTTCCCCCTACTTCTAAAACCTATATTAGACTGGAAATCTGCAGGGAAAGAACACATGCTTTCAGCTGCTGTTCCAAGCCAGACAATGTATTTCTCATACCCACATCAAACCAAACAGAGCAGAGGAACTCACTTGGGTATTTCCTTCATGGAGAAATTCTCGAGATGAAACCTGTGTATTTAGCAAGGACAGCAGGCCCACAGCCCAGACCAGGCTCTTACACAGCCCTAAATGCAGTCAGGCTGTTTCCAGTGCCAGAGAAAGCACCAATTTTATTGCAGAGCAGCCACTTAAGCCTTCCTTGAATTTGAGCCTTTGAGGTAATTCAGAGGCACTGGCTGTGTGCCCTGGGCTTGGGAAGGCCCTGATGTCACCACACACACTTGTGCCCTAAGCTGGGCCTCACAAGTTGTCCCCCTCTGGAGGAGCAGGCTGTGGTGGGATCAGCTTGGCTGGTAGCTCCCAGATGCTGGGGTGGGGCCTGGGCATTTCTAGCTGTTCTTACGTGTTGCAAGGAAAAAAAAATGTGGAGCTAAATTCTACATCCTTTTCTGTCACAAAGCTCTTGCAGAAGCCACCAAGATCCTGTTTGGTGCCAGCAGGAGTCAGTGGTTGTGTGGTATCATAAGCAGAGGAGTGTTTGCTGGATCTTGCTAATAAATGACACACACCCTCCCCAGATATCAGTATCTGCCATGTATAGCAAATGTGGCTATTGCAGCGCAGGTGAAAGCTCCTTACAGAAATCACCCCTGCAGCTGATGATCCAGCATTGTTTGTGAGGTGTTGGGCCCTCCATCTATAAAATAAATTCTGACATGGATTCTAAAAGAAAATTCTGAGAACATTTGCATTACCAAACCAAGCAGTTCTTGCTCGCAGCTGTTACCAGCTGCTTTCATATTGACAGATGTGAATCACACCAACAATTACAGTCCCAGTGAAACCATTAATTATATTGGCAAGAGTTTAGAGTAGAAATTTAATTTGTTTTCAGCTGGATGTGAGCTACCCAAAAGTATTCCTTGCTTTCTAATATACTGTCATGCAATCAGTACAGCCCTGTTATTCAGCAGGCCAGGATGAATACCAAGAATGCAACACCTTAAATAATTTCCACATGTAGATACCAAGCTCCGTATTTTGGTGGTTTTTTATACAAGGCCATCAAAAAGCCTAGCATCCAAACCCACAAAATACCAAGAGCACTTCCCCTTGCTTCTACCCCAAATTCTGCTTAGGGTTCCAGGACAAATTGCTGCCTTCAGCCCTGGTACTAGCCAGATGTACTAGCCAGATGTGGTTTGCTTGACAGGTTCCCTGGACTGATCAGGGCTGTGGGTTGACCATGTTGCATCTTTCCTCCAAAATGAATATATCAAAGCATCTCAGTTGAAGCAAATTGTCATTGAGATAACAAAACCACCATCCTTTTCGGAGAGTCTAACATTCCTTCCACATACAAGAAACTCAAATGGGAAAGAAAGCCAAGATCCTATAAAGTTTTTTTTCTGCTATCCTAACCTAGCCAGTATCCAGCTGTCCAAGAGGGATCATGAATGAAGTGAAGGCCTGAAACAAAGAGCCTGTTACTAAGTTTGTAAATTAATTTTCAGTTTTGCAGGAGAGTTTTCAGAGCAAACGTGCTTTTCCTTCTGGTGATGTTCAAAAGTGCAGCAGTTTGTCAGCTGTTTGTTACATGATAAAATATTTCCTAAATTTCCTTAAGATTCACTTTTGTGCTTGTGTAGCCCTTAGATAGCTGCTGCCTTGCTATAACATCCTGTGTGTTTTAATTTCTTAAATTAGACAGAATACGTAGATATAAAAACGTGCTATGTACTTCTATGGCTCTTCTAGTCCTAAAGAGCTGTTTAAATGCACACATTAATTAAATGCTAATATTGCATTATAATTTCAAGCACCAGATTCAATTAACAAAACACTAATAAGGGAAAAGATTATATACACATACTGTTTTTTGCATATCCTTATTCAGCTGAGCAGTCAGACCACAGCCTGTGCTGTCACCTGTTTGGGGGCTTTACACAGGAAGAGAGTCTGAAGCCTTCCACTGACTTCACATGGATGAGTGTGGCTTTCAAACTAAGGCCATCTATGTTTTCCCTAAGATGTTTCAGCTATCTGCAGAGACCCATGAACTATTCTATCCCCTAAAACCTTCTGTTCTCTTGAGGCAGGATGCAGATCATGAAGCCCGTGTAGAAGAGGCCATAACTCGAATGCTGGTATGCGCCATAAAATCAGCAGAAAATCCCAGTGATGGAGATCTCTGGCTAAATCCCACGGAGGTGAGCCCTCTACTGCTCCCATTATGGCAGCAATAACAAAGAATTACTGACATTTTGCTTAGCTCCCCCTGAGTCTTTATGCTGCTTTGAGAAAAGAGTTTTACGTTCCATCCCTTCATGTAGCAAAAGTAATTCATGGAAGATAATCACGCAAGGTCGAATTGAAACATGTCTCCTTTTAACTGAGTGTATTCTGGGTGTTTTCTTAGGTTGAGGCAACATCCCATGAAATCAATCTTCAGTACCTGAATAAAGCAGTGTCTGCATACCTCAAGTGTCAGGAGACAAGTGTGTCAGGACAGGCACGTTCCAGCAGCACCGGTGCAAAGCAGAGGACAAATACGTCATGCAAAAGGAAGAGAAGGGAAGCTGGCTGTGAACCAGAGAGCTGCACATTACTATCCCAGGAATGTGACTTTCCAACACCCAAAGCAGAAGAGCTGCAGAAAATACCTTTTGGGCCTCATCTTATTCAGGTTTTACCACAGTCTCACAAAACCAGCATGATGGGTGCAGTTGCAGTTGAAAGTGACAGTGGAGATCTCTGTGAAAATGAAGGAGAACATTTTGGAAAATTACAGTGCAAGAGGAAGAGATTGTTAATGAGTAATGACTGTGAGACAGCTGCACATCAAATGGATTCAGACTGCAGTCCATGCACCTCACAAACAGCCCTTTCTACCAATGACTTGTTAGACTGTCTGGTTAATCCTCGTGTCATCAGTTTAGTGGCTCAGCTGCTGTTGGAGAGAATGAGAGTGTGATGCTGGAGTGCTTTATCATTGCTGAAACAGAAATCAAACAGCAGCCTTGTTCTGCGTGTTTAAGATCTGTAATAATTGAATGTTCCATTTCAAGTAATTTTTAGGTACAGATAGACACAGTTAATGGTTAAGTGCAGGTTGAAGTTGAGCTGAAAGAAGAATAGCTTGTTAGTGATGGCTGGGAAGAGAAAGGTATGTTTAGTCAGAGAGCTGCTCAATGTTATGAGAGAGCACACACAGTCACACTCCCACCGTGCTGTGCAGGTGGGATCTTCACAGTGTTCTACAGCTCTGAGCTGGAAAACAAGTATGGCTTGATGCTGGATAGCAGAGGGAGTGCTGGGACATGGTCCCAGGGGTGGGAGCAGATAGATTGACTGACTGTAGACTGCAGTCCTTGGCCACATTTGAAGTAAAATGGGCAGTAAGCAATCAGTTGATTACATTAGAAATAATAAATTCAGGTAAACCTAAACCTCAGCCAAGAGACAATGCACTTACTAATGCATTTACTTCCTCCCTTCCACTAAATAACTTCAGTTGTGTCACAAAGCTCTAGGCTGGAGTGAGACAAAAGCCTTTAGCAAGAAAGTAGCCTTTAACTAGTTCAGAAACTCTTGAAGGTGGGAGAATAAAGGCATTGGGAAGTTGCTGCTATTATTTATTTAAAGCCAGATGTGCACAGTCCCCTATCTCTAAGAAACAGCAAAACAGCTATGACTTTTTACATCTGTCCTTCTCTTTACTATAACAATCAAAATGTATTAATATTATTTTTTTGGTTGTAAATGGTTGCTGTACAAGGTCATACTTTCTTCAAAGGATAGTAATCCTTGGATTTGTTTTTGAAGGTTGGGTTGTTCTTTGATTGAAAAGTTAGGGAACGTGAAATATAGGCAAGAAGGTTTGTTAACTCTGTAGCTATACCTGGAGACTTGAACAAAACCTGGGAAGAAAGCTGCTGGCACCTTCCAGGATGCTCTCACCTCCTCTGATTTCTGTTTGTGGTGGCAACAGAGGCATTTTCCCTAACTGCAGTTTCAAGAGACAGCTTCTGCTCCTGTGAAACCTTTACTTTTAAAATGTCTCCTTGCTTGTGTCTGCTAGAGACCAAGAAACCAGTTTCTATCATCAGCCTGTTCCCATAGCCCTAACCTTGCACCACCAGCCCTCCAGCTGGTATTTCCTTTGCTTGCTGTGTGTTCCCTGCTAAATACATGAAGCTAGTGCTGTTTCCACAATGATCACCTTCCACTAATTTATAGTTGAAAAATCCTGATTGCAGAGGTGCTTTCTCTCTGCTTTTCTTCAGATTGCATGTTGGCAGGGCCCTGATGAATTATGGTAAGGGCTTTAGATATGCACCAGGAGATCAGAAATTCAGGAAACTTTGCCATTTCAAAAATCTCCCCAAAAACCTAATACACTTGGAAGAGGATTAAGTTGAAAAGGCGCAAAGGTTCACGTTTAACAAGCACAGAAACCTTACCCTGATGGAAACAGCTGTGTATGTAGTTTGCTGGAGACCCTGGCTTTGAAGAGTGGCTGTGAGTTAGCAGCAGAGGCCACACGAGCTTCATCTCTCACCCACAAAAGGGCTGTTTCCAGTGTCCTGCTCTGCCCTGGTAATTTGGCTCAGACCCTGATAACACCTCAGCAATTGTGAGAAAATCCACTGTTCTTGTTTCATGTTTCTACACCAAAGGGTGTCAGTGGGGTTGCACCCTTGCAACCAGACCAGAATTTAATAAACAATCCTGTTGATACAGTTCCTGTTTGTGTGATGGCACTGCTGTGACAAAGGGATTCGGTCAGGAATCACTGAGGAAACATCTTGGTCACCTCTGCTGCCTTTACTGATTCACCAGGCTCATAGGGAGCTGTCTGTGGAACAGGGCAGACCCATTTTGAGGCACAGGCACATCTCAGCAGAGCTGGGTTTAGCAAGACCCTGCTCATGTCCTACTGCTGGGCTTGCCTTTTCCATGCTGACCAGAGGGGCTGGGACCAGCTAGAGAGCATTGCTGCTGGGAGCAGTTGCACTGGGAAGGAAGGGTTACAAATGCCTCATTTTAATTCACTGAGCAAAAATAGTCTTGCAATAAAAAGCTTTTATGTCTAGAACAGATAGAGATGGGGGAGGAAAAGCACAGGCAGTAAAGTGGAGGAGGATAGCAGCATCATCTTCCAGTCCCCACAGTGTGAACTTGCTTAGCTTAAGCTTCCCTCCCAACACAAAGATCATCTTAACATACCGCATGAAATCTGCACTGAACATTTCATCCCTCTGTATCCCAAACGACTGTCCTTGGAAAGGCTCACTGAACGTGTCAGGGGTCTCTGTAGGACTTGCCCTGATTGCCTTCCATGCCTGTGCCAGAGGACCCATCTCGAACTCAGTGTAGGAGCAGCATTCTCCCAAGGCTGAGCTGTGTTCAGTCACATCCCTCACCACTCCAATCACACCCTCTCTGTCTGGGGACAGTCACAGTTTATGCCTGTCCAGGTGCAGCCCATGATTTAAGGGCCAGGCTGTGGCCAGAAGCCATTAAGCCAAGGGGACAGGGAGAAGAGCGAGTGAGGCTGTTTAGGATGCAAGGCAAAAGCAGCAGAAGGACTTTGTGTCTCAGAGGTGCAATATAAAATCTCAGTCATACACTCTGCACACAGGGGCAGAGAGAGAAATGACCACAAATTCAGCAAATCACGTATGGCAAATGGCTTGTGCACCAGTAAGAGAAATTTATTGCTCTGACCCGATGCGCAGCATGCCGAGTGCCACGATTCCTGACGCCGTTTCTAAATTCATGGCCACTGCGTGCAGAAGCTCAGACAAGTTTCTACATATTCATAGCGTTAAAAATAAATGATTCCTGATCTCTCTGGTGACAGCCTGTCTCCAAGAGGAGCAGGAACCCAGTGCTAGCCCTCTGCAACTGCTGATAGAAACTTTCTCCCCCAAGAAGGAGTATTTCCCACTCACTGGGAAATGGGCATGGCAGCAGTTGAGATCATAGCCCAGAGCCATCACTGGGGTGGTCACAGTGGTGATCCTTGTCATCTCTGCTGTAGCTGAGTGACAGTAAGAGATGGACCCTGCAGGCCTGGTGTTGAACATAAAGCCTTGCTCCAGCCCAGGGCCAGTCCAAGCAGAGGGATGGACCAGCACATTCACTTCCCACACACATCCAGGCTGTTCTGCTTGGCTGGTGGGGACCCTGTGTGCTCCCTGCCCCAGTACCAGGTTTGCAGAGTGGCTCATGGGCCAGCCTGGATTATCTCTCCTGGACTGACTGGCATGGCTACTCACTGGCCCTGAGCACCACCCTCACTGAAAGGAATCTCCAAAACCACATCCAGGTCTGACAGTATCAGCTCTCAAGTGAGCAGGAAGGGAAAACCCCAAATAACATCTTCCAGAGTTTCAGTCTTCACTAAAAACCTCCCCACTAAATTTCTCTGGGTACCACTGGGTTTCACAGTGCTACTGCCCCCATTTGCCTCTCCCAGAACTTCTGCTGTGGCTCAGTTTTCCTGATGCCACAGAGCAGCTCAACTGCAGAGCTGTGACATATGTTATCATGTAAAATTAATCATAAATTGAGTTTTAACTAACAAACAGGGCATATTGAAGAGGCAGAGAGAATCCTTCCACAGGGCTAATTGCCCTTTAAAATAAAAGTAGTGCTACAATTCAGCCCGTTTGCCAACTAGTAAGCCCCTTGCTGTGTTTCTCAGCTACAAATGTGAACTGTTTTGGTGTTTGGCATGAGCAGGCTTCCACTCACGGGAGTTTCCTCCATGGGACTTTTCCAGTATGGCTGATGGGGAAAGACCTCTGCAAAAAAGAGGCCTGGTTTTACCATCTGGTTAGTCCAGGTGGGGGAGGAAAAGGATCCTAGACCTCCTGTACCATATTCTTCTGTTCTCCAGACAAAGAGGTCTGACCCACAGCAAAATGGGGACACACTTTGCCATGCTGGCTGGAGGGGCACTGGGATGATGGTATCTCTGGTTAAAGAGCCACACATTTCAGAGCTGTGTTTTTGGAGACATCCCAAGTGGACGCTCCCACTAAACATTAATTTCTCCATCTAATTAGTGGGGTTTGTCCAGCTTAGTGGTGTGACTGGGAGCTGGAAGTTCTGGTCACCTTGGAACAGCCAGTTTGGGAGGACCACAGCACCCAGGGCTCTAGGGGGAACTGTAGGGCATGGGGACAGAGGGGGCAAGTGCTGTGCAGCAGTGGTGGGGAGAGGATTTTTGTGAGTCTCTCAGAGGCTCAAAGAACACAAGCAGAAACCCTGGAGCTCTCAGACCTCCCAGTGCCCCTGTGCTGAGGCACCTGGGGAGCCTTGGAGCAGGTGAAAGTGCCTCACAAGCCAGAAGCGTTGCTTTGCAGCCAAACCTCACATGCACCACAGCTCTGCTGGCCTTGCATTTATTTACAGAGGCAGTGCCATGAAAAAGACACGGCCAGCTCCCTGCTCTGCACCTTGCAGCTTCTTAGCAAAACCTAGCTCTAAGTTTTGAGGGCATAGACTCTGCTGCTTCCAAAGCTCTGGTGGTATTGTCCCAGCAATATGTTCTCATTCCTTCTGATGACCTATGAAAACTACTTTGTGAAGGTCTGAATCTGATACTTTCAGCACTGAAGAACTTTTACATCCTATTTCACAGCAAAAGAGGTCGCCCCACCTTTCTAAAGGGTGGCCCCATCTTTCCAAATCAGAAAGGTTGATTGTAAAACAGGTTTTCATCTCCCTGCTAGATATTTGATTCATGTAGAGTCACTCTGTCACATCACTGCATCAGGGAAGGTATATGAGCTTCAATGGCAAGTAAAGAGTTAAAATTGTTCCTGAATTCCTCTCTCACCCTAGCCATGTCCCCTCCTCCTACTCCCCAGAACCTGGGCTATGCCCATTGAAAGCACCAGGCAGTAAAATCCTTCCCTTCTGAGCAGTGCCAGGCTTGTCCCATGCCCTGGTGGGACACATGAATCCAGCCCAATTAGCAGCAGCCCTAACAAAGCTGGCTGAAAACCCCCTATTAAAATGAAAGATGGTGTTGTGTAAAAAGAAGGCAGAGCAAGTGAGGCCGTAACACAACTTATTGCTGTCCCCAGAGGAGCCTCACGACTTAGAGGGACTCGGTGCCTCGCCTGCATTTCAGCCCCTGCTTCCCCAGGGTTGTAATGTATTACCTCTGCATTTGCTTGGGGGTCTATCCAAAGGGATGAGGATTTCTGCCCTGGTTAAGAATGGAGCTATCTGCCCCCCTGTGATAGCTCACTGCAATGTGTTTATTCCTTGTTTGCTGCTGCTCCCTTGACTGAAAGCTGCAGCATTGCAAAGATTGATGCCGCACGTAGCTCAGCCCTGCTTTGGCCATGACTGGTCTCTCCACATGCCAGCAGCCCCAGCTCCCCCCCAGGGTGGTGCCCTCAGGACAGCCTTGCCTGGGTGAGCCCCCTCTCTGCCCTGCTGGGGACCTGATGGGATCAAAGGTCTCCAAATCACCAACGCCTTTGACTCCAAGCACGTGAATAGACCCGACTGCCCCCAAGTCACACCCATGAGGAGGAGCCCTGTGGGCAGATCAAGGCCAGAGCAAGGCCAGCTCGAGGGTACAACACATCAGCAGAAGCATCCTCAGCCCCATGATGCTCTCCTGTGTCTGTCAAACATATTATTACCATTATTAATCCAAAAAGATGTTCAGAGCTCTATCAGAAGAAGGACTAGAACAGGAATCAGAGGAAGACAAGGCTGTCCTGGCTGGGGCAGGAGAGCAAGGATGAGATGCAGGTCTTGCAGGCCATGCAGGTCTTTTCCATCCCTTCCTCTTCAGAGAGTTAATTAGCAAGGCATGGTAACAGTATTTGTGCAGTCACTGCTTGCACTGATTACAATAAATTTTGTCCTGCATGTTAAAGTCAGAAACATCTCGCATCTGCCAAGCGGCAATCAGGACCAATTAATGAAGATGTAATTTCCCCAGATGCTGCTATTAACATAATTCACCGTGTTCCTAGCAACATGAATATAATTAACCCAGTTAACCACAACTCTCATCACCGCCACACCAGGCTGCCCTTGGCCTCAGAAGAGCCTCCCTGCCCTGTCCCCAGCCACATCCACAGGGCTGAGGGGCACAGCCACTCCCCATCCTCTCTCCTCGAGGGGTGGGTTTGGGAGCCACAGAAATGCCAGAGGCTCTTCTCAGAGGCAGGACAACCCAAGACCCCTGACACCCAACACGGTTTCCAGGCCTCAGCTGCACCTCCAGTGATGGGCGACGCTGCAGCAGGCCTGCCCCAGCCCTGGGAACGGCGCACACCCGTGGGGTCAGACCCGTGGCAAAATTCAGCCAATCCCTTGATGCAAGTGCCCTCCAGCCCTTTTCCCAGGCTGATTCCAGGGTAATGATGTGGCTGACACAGAGCTCTGCCCTCACCACCAGCCAGAGCACAACAACTCACTGTGGGGAGCAGCAAGTCCAGCTGGGAGTCGGGGACAATCCTCAGCCACGGGGCAGCCCTGCAGGGCTGGGACCAGCATCCATGGACACCTCCACACACAGAGAGACATGAACAAGGTCCAGAGCTCACCACAGTCCAGCAGATGGGAGGAAATGGATTCCAGGCTGGAGAAAGGGGATGATATAATGCAAGAACCTCCTGAAGAAAGGCTGAAGCAAGGACTGGTGGCCAGGTTGAGCTGCAAGAGGCTCCAGTGCCCACGTGCAGGTGTGTGTCCCAGCTGAGTC